CGCCAGCTGATACAGGCATCCCGTGCTAATCTCAAGGTCCTGTTCTTTTCTACGGCAACCCTGTATTTTGGTCCTGCTCATAACTATGATACCCTATGTTTGGTCCTGCTTCACAATGGGCTTTTGTAAATTTAGTCCTGCTTCACAATAGTCTAAAACAAAGAGCAGTCCTGCTCAATCTCGGGAGCAGGACCTCGTCGAAATGATCATCATAACATTTCGTAAGCAGTAGTGCTTTGATTGGTTGAGGGTTCACCTACGTAGTCAAAGAGCATTGTTTTGAAAACCTTTGGTCCTGCTATTTCTGAGAGCAGGACTGCAAGAATTGTCCTGTGCATTCTCGTTCTGCTATGAGATACTAGCAAGGAGGCCAGTTCAAGTATTATGGCGAGGCGATGTGAATGCGGATTTTCTGCTTGCTTTGGCAATACCAATGATATTATTATTGACAGCAAAACTTGCCTCAGTTGAGCTGCATAAATTTTATTTGTAACAAGACAGAGTCCAAAGTTCGCAAGAAAGAAATGTAAACAACAAGAATTGGCTGTATGAGGCACTCTGATTTCGGCCTTTGTACGATCGTTTGAGGCACGGTATATCATGGTGGCCTAAATAAAATTTTCTTAGACTTGGACAAGGACGATGAAAGCATAATTGAATTTACTGTTGTGTGATTGAAAGTTTTGAGTTGGAGAATAAACCAATTTCAGCGGAATTTGCATTTTTCTACCTGAATTGTTTTCTCGTCTAATGGTTTATCTAATAAAGTTGTTTTCATTGATAATGCGACACATTATTGGATTGTACCTCTCTTTATCAGCTGCAGAATAATTGTTCTGCAGAATATGTGAACTTGCCCCTACAGACTTTAAACTCTGTTGTTTATTAAAATTATTTTAATAGAGTGTCTAGATTGATCTAGGCTGGACCAAAATCTGGAATAGTCTAATTAGACTATTTCAACTACCACAAATATATGATATGCAACTTCAAATGCCACCCCTACCCCCCTTTTATTGTCAAATTTTATTATCACCAATTTAAACTTTTACTTCAGCTGTAGAGGCTTACTACAATTTAACATAGATTTGTTTGAAAAGTAAGCACCCTAAAGCACGTCTTTATGTATGGGTTTATTTTTTAAAAGATTTAAAATTTGCTTTTTACTGAATTTAAGAAAACATTCATCTGCAAAAAAGAATTTTTGTTCATGGGCGTTTCCTATTGGATAAGGGCGTGGCCCTGTACATACAGCAGGACCAACAATTTTTGGCTAGCTTCGCCACTGTGTGTATGTACTCTTCAACTTGTGTCGCTTTAATGGAAGGCCATAGAAAGAGAGGGAAAGTAAAGACATAAGCTTGATTTTGAATTGAACAAAGAGGGTCAATTCCCCTTTAATTAGATGAGGGCCAATTCCCCATTAAAAATGCAGCTGACAATGCGCACAGAACGCCTTTTCTTACCCTAAACCTTGTCTTAACATGAGATTAATTTTGGGTTCCCGTGAGTCTCAGATCATTTGCAAATCAAAATGAAGCTGTAAATCACCTGAACGTGTAGTCTGTCGTTGAATCCTTTGAAACACCTGATCGGCATTACATGTAACACCGTTGTGTTGTTGACTGTAACAGAAGAATTTATCAATGAATGCCATACCAACGTTATGCATACTTTTCAGACTTCTTTATTTTCATAACATTGCTTGCTACAGTAAAAACCTGCCTGAAAGGACCTGAGTTTTAAGAACTTTGAGGCAGAAATTAAGGCCCCCTAAACAAAACAGAAATTGGAAATGGGCTCAGTTTGTCATGAAGATTCATTCCATCAATCGGATAATTTTCACGCAAATATTTCGTTGCGTTCAATTCTTGTGAGGCTCGCCATAGAACCACAACAGCCCAACAACGCCATGAATCATTTTTGCCGCAATGCAGCGTGATAACACCAAAAACACTGTATCATTCTAGGCGTAGATATCATGAGGTATGAGCACATTGGGAGGAAGGACCAGAACACTGCTCGATAGGAACAGCTTTTCAGAGTGTCCTTATACCTAGCATCAGAAGCTAGGAACTACAACAAACTCTGATTCTTTAGGTTTCCTTACGATACTCCCAAAGTCTTACGAGAAAATGAATAAGCACCCGCTTAATTAAAGTGTCAATCTCAAATACGTGTATTTTTATTTATAAGAAACTGGTTTACAAGAGACTAGTACTAAAATGCCCAAACATTTATGAAACTTTAGCACTAGGCTCAAGAAAAACTAAGAAAATGTAAAATTGTCATTTTTAAAAAAAAATCAAAAAGTTCTATTTTCCTTGAAAAATAAAGCAAACTTTGGATTTTAATCTGCATGGGTTTTTTGTGACGATCTGCGTTTATATTCTTCCAAAAATGTTCAATTTCAGAATAGTTAGAAACCATCGAAGAAACTTTGAAGTATATATGAACAAATGTTTTCCACCTCTCAGCCCATAATCTGGCAGATGGGGGTGGGATGAAATCATCCAATGTTTACATGCAGATTATTCATTTGAATAGTGCACTAGTGTGGAATGTAAAACAATTTGCGTTACTGACTTGCAGCAGAATGGTCATGCAGAAAAATACCTTCTTTATTATCTTACTTCTTTCCGGCTAAGTTAGTTGCAGATGTAAGCTAATGCACACTTGATGAGGATAGCTGGTGCCAGGGCCGCCAAGAAGGAGGCAAGGGGGGGGGAATTGCCCCATTAAGAATGGAATCAATTAAACGTAGCAAAGTATACCTAAAAAAATAGTAAACCATTTTAAATAATTGCAAGAAAAAGGCTGCAAAAAATGTTCCGAAGGGAGTGGACGCAAAAAATTCCACATCTTTCCTGTTTGCCCTAAAGCCTGTAAAATCTCCTGGGACCCTTGGCTGGTGCATGACTGCAATGGAACATATTGGCATCTGGTGCACAGAAAACCATATTTCTATACTGGTGGTCACGCACTTAACCGGGCTGGCTCGTTTGCCATACAAACGCAAGACGTAAATTACAAAGGGTTCTAATGGTGGGTGGGATCTCACCTCTCAGTTCACAAGCTTGGATGATTTTCTTCATATGAACAGGCTCTTAGTGACATCTACTCTTCTTTTCGTCATTGCTCCTTCTCAGTTTTACTTTTACTCGTTACAGACTCTGGTACCTGTGGAAAACATAATATTGATCGAGGGGCAAATCAATCTATGAAAATCTCGTATATCTTTGGTGGAAATCCATTTGTTTTACCTAATAATATCCTAGAAATCCTTTTGTTTTGGTCGAAATCTCATACTCTATATGCAAGAGTGGATTGCCCCTCGATATCGATATCAAGAGCGGACTTGTCACAATTCCTGGTTTCCACTGAGTTGGCACCATTCGCTGAGTCAGTTTTCGCCATTTGCTGATTCGTCAATTTACTTTCGCCAAAGTCACGCAAATTGGTACATTTAAGTGAAATTCGGCCTTAAGTGGAAACTGAACTGTTAGCTTGATTTCCAATTCTGTCCCCAGTAAAATTGTTCAGTAGGGCCTTAGATTGAAAGGCCAGCCTCTTTTATTACTTAAAAATATTCCTATTTGACGGCGCGCATTTTACACTTCAATGGGATGTATACACTGGGTGCCAGAGCCTCAGAGAGTAAAAGGATGAATTGCGAAGGAGTCCCCTTTCTCCCTTTCATTCTCCTTCGCAATTCCTTTTTCATTCTCCATTCGCAATAAAGTTGTCAAGTGATGACGTCACAAAAAATTTTTTTTAGAATTTTCCCATAACCTAAAAGAGCATAAAAATACCCCTAAATCTGCAAAATCAATTAGAGGTATTACGAATTGACCGAGATATGACCAGATTAGCACAACCCCTTTAATTTGGGTTCATAACTTTATTACCCTGGGTACCAGACTCACTATTTTATTTTATATATATTGAGTCTGGTACCCAGCGTATAACTTTATGAACTGAGCCAAGAAGCTTCAAATCTTCTATTGGCCATAGCTCACCAAATCTTTGACACGTTTAGCAGACTTAATACACATGGGACTATTTTATGGCGTTCTTTCATGTTATGTGATCCAAATTCAAAAATTCTAAAAATAGTTATTTGTGACGTCACATTTTAAAACCCTTTTCCTTTCCCCGTTCTTCATCCTTTGACTCTCTGAGGCTGTGGCACTAAGGGTATGGGATGTACTACTCTTCTGCTCAATGGGGGAGGAAGTACTCATAAACATCTAGAATAGGAATGCTAAGGCTAGGATACAAGCCATAAACCTAAAAAATAATGCTTATTATAATGAATGACCCAGAAAAATATATTTCTAGCAACGCACAAGAAAGTTTGCCTATTTCTCTATTTTTTCGAACAATTCTCATATTCGAAACTCAAAACATCCAGTAATTCATGAACCCAAAAAAGTAATAGTAGACTTGACTGACCAAAGAGTAACTTTTGCTTAAATTCGAGACCCAAAAAATTAACCCACGAACCCCTATCCTAAAAATGTATTAGAAGCCCGGCTAGGCTCTTTCAAAATTTTACGGTTTTTACGATTTTTCAAAGATAGCAGGCAAAAAGGACTATTGGGATTGCCATTGTTGTTTGGAAATGTTGCTTCTCAAATTGATTTTCAATGATTCCCCAACATCAATTAGAGCACATCTTGATCGGGGAACTTTTTGCAACTACGTCCTCTCGCCAATTTCCATTTACTTGTTTTTGTCCACATCGGAGGGTATTGTGTGTGTGTTTGTCCGTCGAAGCGACGAAGACCAAAAACTGGTTATCCTAAGAACGGGATTGGTGGGTGCGCAGATGGCTAATGAGACCGATCTGCGCATGGAATGTTCGCTGGTAGTGTGGACCGTATTAGTATATTCATAAACAACATCTGACCCCATAGTGAACTTTTGAAACATCATCGCTAAGCTCAGTTAAGGTGGATGATACCCAAAAATTTTTGTCAAAATTTATTTTTTAAGGAAATTATGTTTTTGCTGTCAAAGTGGCCTTTCAACATCGATCTTTAAGATGGTGTAATTAGAAAATGATATAGCTATTAAAAACGTTAGTAAAACTAGCCCTTTTTGGGAGCACCAAATTTATTTTTTCCTTAGCAACGGTTTCCATGCAAAAGAAACACATCAAATTGCCCCAAAGACCCCCAAATTTGATATCCAGTGGCCATATTTTCGTGACAATCTATGTGAAGTACTTTGTTGGCTAGGACACGGCCAGGAACTTGGCGTGTTTGAGGCAATCTTCGGTTTAGCTTTTGTTTCAACTGTAAATTCAACTGTTCACAGAGAAGAAACCGAATCATTCGCGTAACAAAATAACCAAATTAACGATGCCAAAGCAAGCAGCAACACATCGAAAGAAAAGAAAGAGGATGTTTTATGGCATTCAAAAACAGGAGCTGCCTAGAACTGAAAGTAGGCCGGAAGACAACCAGCAATCGAGTTCGTTGGGACAAGGCCTATCAACTGCCATATCTCCTGGTAAACCAAACAGATCCTCTGAAAAGATATCATCAAACTGTCCAGTTTTGGAAAAGATAGATAGCCAGATTATGACAAGAAAAAGGGCACTTGATTTGGGACAAGAAACACCAACTGGGGAAGTACTTGCTTATGGTTACAAGATAATTGACACTGATTGTCTTCGGCAATTTATCAACAACACTGTTATTTGTGCAAAGTGTAGAAGTTCTGAGGGTAAATTAGAGATTTATCAAGATAACAGCAAAAGGAATGGTTTACATGAGTGTCTCCTATTGAGATGTGAATTTTGCAAGAATGAGACTAAGTTTCATACAAGCAAGAAAATTGAAAATAAGAAAGGGAATTGCGAAGTGAATGTACGGCTTACACAAGGTGGTATCTTGACAGGAAATGGCCAGCAGAGTTTGAATAAATTATGTACTGCTTTGAATTTACCCCAACCAGTTGCCACTAAGTCATATCAAGCCATAATGAAAAAAATTGAGCTATCAGCTAACAAAGAATGTGAAATTGCATTGAAAAAGTCTGCAGAAAGATTGAAAAAAAAACTAATCCAAGAGGATCCATCCTGCAAAGACATGAATGCCACTACAGATATATTTTCTGTGGCAATCTCAATTGATGGAACATGGCAAAAGCGTGGATACTCATCCCTTCTTGGTGTTGTTTTTGTTATATCAATAGAAACTGGTGAGGTGCTGGATTTTGAAGTGCGCAGTAAGGTGTGTTTTGAATGTAGGTCACGTAGCTTGTGGGACAAAAATTCACAAAGATATAAGACATGGTTTCAAAGCCATAGTGACTCATGCTCTGTCAACCACCACCAGTCATCAGAAGCAATGGAAAAAGAAGCTGCCACTTTGATGTTCATGAGGTCTATTGAAAAACATAACCTGAAGTACACAACCTATGTAGGTGATGGTGACTCATCATCCTATGGAGTTGTGTCAGAAGCACTATCAAAAGAATATGGTTCATCGTATTTGGTTTGTAAAGAGGATTGTGTTGGCCATATCCAGAAGCGGATGGGAACAAATCTTCGACGCCTCAAACTTAGAGCAAAAGGAAAGACGCTTGCTGATGGTGGAACCATTGGTGGAAGAAAAAGATTAACAGACTCTGTAATTGACTCATTTCAGAATTACTTTGGCTATGCCATACGAAATAATTCAAACAATTTGACAGCCATGTATAATGCAGTTTGGGCTATATATTTTCACTGCATTGCTGGTGAGAATGAAAGTCTTTCAGATCAACATAGGCTTTGTCCTGATGGAGAAAATTCTTGGTGCCGGTATAAACAAGATCTTGCCTGTAAGACAAATACTTACTCAGCTGAGAAATGCCTGCCTCCAGTTTTTAGAGAAGAACTTAAAATGTTGTTTGAAAGACTTAGTGACAAGAATCTTCTGCAGAGATGTCTGAAAGGGTACACTCAGAACCAGAATGAATCCATCAACAACACCCTTTGGGCGAAATGTCCAAAACGTGTTTTTGTTGGATATCATAAGCTTCAAACAGCTACCGCAATCACAGTGCTCATTTGGAATAGAGGTGCAGCAAGTATGGGGTCTGTGTTAGAGAGACTAGGAGTTGAGGACCTTGGCATTAATACAATGACAGGATACAGATTGGAAAATTCATCTAGAATTAATAATGCACAAAAAAAATGCCAAAGCAAATATAGAAAAAGAAGAAGACAGCTCCGCCATGAAAGGAAGACAAAAAATGTTGTTGGAAAACACTATTTGTCAGGAGCTTTTGGGACATCAAAGAAACCTGAAGCTACTCCTACTTCTAGAAGAAAGAACAACTGTAGTGATGAGAGCAAGGAACTGGAGGTAGTATTTGTAAATGAAAACGACATAGAAGTACATTGTGCGAAGAAACCATTTTTGGCCGTTTAATACTGGCAGTTTAAAATTTTACTTTTTGTGTAGTTAAGCAATGTTATTTGATCCAAAGAGCTGAAAAGGTAATCCTATTGGTTTCTATTTCTTGGAAATTTGTTTCTTTTATCTATTATAAGCAGTATTGCCATGTAAATTGGTCTAACAGCTTTGAGAAATAACGTTCAATGCAAGTAGTCTATGCTTATATGCTTCAAAAACTTTGATTGGCCGATTTGAAAAACAGACTATTTTATCTTATGGAAAAGATATCTAAAGAACTGTTGGACATATTTCATTGAAATTTGCAGTGAAGGCTCATCTTGTTAAGAGGATCAAAATAAATTGATGATTTTTTGAAATTTCAAATTTACAATGAGCAATTATACAATAAAGGTTTTTTAGAGTTTCCATGGCAACAGTTGCCATGGCAAAAATTCTGTCAATTCATTTTATAGCTCTTCTATGTCCTGTCACTTTTGGACATGTTTGGTTTTAAAATACCTTGATACATAATCATAATCTTATCTACAAGTTTATATTTGATGTTTGTTGCTATGGCAACATCTACCATCTTAGCTATGATTTTTCGAAAAAAAATGAAAAAAATGAAAGTTACATCAATAATCTGCTTTCATGTAATAGATGAGGTCTGTAAGAGGTACCAAACTGTTTCAAAACAGGTTTTTGCATAGGAAGTGATTAAGGATAAAAATTGGGTATCATCCACCTTAAGTTTTGATCCGCAAATCTTCCATTCCTAAAGCATAGTTTATCTCTTGAAGATTTTAATTAATAGGTCCGAATACATGGCTAATCGCACGTGGCTAATTTTCAATTGCCTTCTAATCTGGTATGCAAGCCTGTCGACGGGCAATATTAGCGCTTTGCTACTGACCATGCAATCGAAAGGGCAGATAAAATGCTTTCATCCGACTGAAGATCATGAATCATATCCACGCAAAGAAAGATAGGAAGTGTCATAGCAGATAACCAGCAAATGAAAATCTCCTTCTTTTGAACTAGGCCGCTACCTAACTCAACAGTTCACTTGTCGATTATCACCTACAAAGCCTTTCTCTAATGCATCAATAGATATAAAAAAGAAGCTCGTTTCGGCTGCTGCCTGTCACAACAGCTGCCAAAAATTGCCATTAAATAATTAAATTAATGGTGCCCGTTTCATAAATTTGATTGCAGTTTTGTAATATTTTGTAATTTAGGTAGTTGTAATGTTAATGAATTTGTACGTAGAGTATATAAAATCAATGCAAGAACAGGATTTGAGAAAATATTCTAAGAAACAGTGTGAGTGAGTGTTTTCGGGCTTTGGATTGAAAATGTGGCCGGGTTGCTTAGTGGTAGAAGAATGACGTACAATTTTTCTGTTTGCTGGTTCGAGTCGAGGGGGGAGGGGGGGGGGGCAAAAGGATTTCCAAGAATTTCAGACAAAAAGCAGGATTTTTACCAAAAGCGTACGAGATTTTCATAGAGTGATTTGCCCCTTGGTTCGAGGCTGTGCCCTGATTGTGTCATTCATCCCCTTTTGCGCAAATATTTCAAATGTGATGCCATAAGTGATAAACAGAGGTTGCCTGAAGGCATCATTGTGAAGGCATCATGGATTGAATAAAGGAGGAAATAACTGGGATGTAGGAATCAGGGGCATTTACTGTTATTCTGCAAAAATGCTCGTATTAATGCTAATATTGTGACATTGCTGGTAAAAGGGCCCCTTCCACGTTAAATGGGCCATTTCTGTGCAAAGCTTCTTCATAATTGTTTATTTTGGTTCATATCTTTGAATGATTATATGTTATAAATTAAAAGTAAATGCAAATTTAAAGTCATCTAAATTGCTAAAGTAATTTAGAGCAAGCTTTCAAGCACTGAACCGTTCAACATTTATTATCCCTCCCACGTTATGTTTTTCAAAATTTTAATGAAAATAAAAAACTTACATGAACCCATAGAGGTGTCGTTTATGTACATAAAGAAGAAGATAGGAACCAAGGGTAGATCCTTGTGGACACGACAAGCAACATCGAGATTGATTAAAACTTTACCCATTGACTCAGAATTGTGCATCCCAGGTGAAAACTGTTCCACTGATACCATAATGCACAAGCTTATAAAGAAATATCTTGTGATAAAAAGTAAGCTTTTTGTAAGTTAAGACAAATGCCAAATCCAAATCTCTGATTTTTAGGAAATCTCTTCATCACTTCAGTCAGACTAGTCCATGGATGGTTTAAGAAATAGCAGACACGGAAGCCAAACTGTAGCAGGTCCACGCCACTAGGGGGCTGGGGTGGCCATTGTCTCCCTACTTTTTCCTGAAGCAAATGATTTCAAAGCTACAATAAAAGGTGAAAGAAGCCTCGACCCCCACTTTTTTAGCCCCCCCCCCCTCCACGTTAAATTTTGTGGCGTTGGCCCAGTGTAGGCTGCACATGGTTATGTGTAATTCCAAAAAGCAAGATGCTTGTACATTGTTTCCGCTGTTATCTTCTAAAACCGTCAAAAGAGATATTGGCCTATTTTTAGAAGCCTCCAGGAGACAACCTGTTTAGCGGAAAGGAATTCCCTGCATTCTTTATAAAAGAAAACAAGATTGACAAGATAGCGTTCTTCAAACTTCAACTTTGGGTACTTGTCTAACTTACTCCCTCCCAAACGATCCTCTAGATATCGCAATATTTTTGTTACTAGAAATTTTGGTCATGGTCCTGTTTAAAATAATGGAAATATAAAGTCGATTTATGTTATTCATTGGCGTAACCTAGGGCCATGCCCTCAAGAAAATTATATGCAGCCATGCCATATGTTGTTAATACAAAAATGGGAGCAAGACCATTTTTAATACAAATTTGTATCAAACATTTTCTGTTTAGGCTGCCAAGAAAAATCTTTCAATGTTGTTAAAGTGCAATTGGGTATATTTTATGAAATTTTCAACTAAAGAGCCGAGGGCACGGACCCCCACCCTAATTCAGCCCTTTGATGCACTACTACAGGAGCGTTGAGAGGGGGGTTAGGAGGGGCAAAAGGTCCGAGGCCCGTGCCTCGATGGGACCCGTATTAATGTAATAAGATATATTTATAATGCAAAAAGCTACTTTTTCAGCTACTTATATGGAACAAACGCATGTAAGTTTATCGCAGAGAAAACATGTCTTTGATTCATGTAAAATGTTTTTGCACATTTTTGCAAAATTCTTAAAAAACTTTTTCAACAATTGTCACTAAAAGGTGTTTCCCTCGTTCTCCTGGAGACGGAAGGGCGTGGCCGCAGGAACATTTCTTAAGGGGTCCAGCTTTGTGAATCACCCCCAAGCCCGAGCTGGCTCTCGAGGACTCTAAATACTGCCCTTATCTGGCAAAAGGTATATCAGATCCTACAAATTTCAGTGAAAGGGAAAGCTAACAATCTATAACCTTCACAAAATGAATCGGTTCTTAATGCCTAGGATGAGGTCTTGAAATAAAGAAGGTCAAATAAAATTGTTCCTTACCTAACAAAGAGATAATAATATTTTTGGTTATGCTTCGTGGCCAATCTATCGCTCCCTTTCATTTCTGGTGGACTTATTATAATAATCTTTGCGAAGATTATGATACTTTGAATCTACCACAAAGCAGCTCAGAACGTATAGCAAGGGTTTTCGGTTCACCATTGAGCAAATATGGCCACACATATTGCTGGTTGTTATTGGCGAAGACCTCAAGGGCAAGCCACAAAACAGGAGCACACGAATTTCTTAACGTGAGAATTTTTAAAGAAAAATTTGAGATAAGTGAAAGGATTAAATGCACGCAGATGTAGACGAGGGTTTAACGAAATGTTTTTGCCGCTAGTCTAAACAGAATTGGCTCATAGAAATCCATTTGCCACAACAATTCTTTATTTAATTGAACGATGGTACACAGGCAAGTGCTCTGCAGAAATATAAACTGTATATAATTTCCAGCCATTAATGTTATATTCAATGCTCCATAATTTTTAGGATATTCTAACAGTCACGTCAAGATTGTAACGATTTTGACATTCTTCTGATGTTCTGACCCCTTGAAAAATAATCCAGCTTTTCCCTGACTTGTTATATTTCCAGAAAATTTTATAGCCCCTTCAAGTTTGTAAATATCCAGCTATTGGCCATTTGCTGCATTTCAATTGCCTTTTAATGTTTATTACTCTGATTCTTTAACTAAAAAATCTTTTAAAATAAAAGGAGCACCGAGATGACAAAAAAATATGAAACCACAGTACACTCTTTTTTATAAGAATACACAAAATATTATCCAGCCTCAATATTATTAGGGAATTTTCGTTTTGAGATTTATATTCTTAAAGAATTCTTATTTTCTCAAATCTTATATGGTTTCAGGGGAACATCACCCGCCCTCGAATAGAAACGGGGATGCCAGTTTTACCATTCTCTCTTAAAAGCATGGAAAAACAGGCAACCGCTGAAAAATAAGACAGAAATCTGCGAGCTGAGGAATCTACAATATTCTCTTAAATCTTTTAATGTTTATAAAAATTGGGCGATTCTGAGCCTAAATATTCTTATCAACAATATTCTTATAGAAGAAGAGTGTACTGAACTACTGATTACCCTCTACTGACTACTGACTACTGAAACTGCTATCATTATTCTTTTAAAGATGGGATGGTTAAGAAGATTTTCTTGCGACAGGTTCTGTTTATGTTGAAATACGTTTTTATTACCAGTTATTTTTCTGTCTAAAAAGTTGTTTTGTGGCACTTGGCATTTTAAGAAAGCTTTTATGATCTTTAGAATTAATCATCATTCTGAGAAATATAAGCCATTCTTGACTGATAATCAATCTTAAAGGGATATCGCTAGCTAGTAATTTCAAGTTGAATATATTTTTAAGATGTCAGGCATCTGATATCGAGGCTCCTGTGCTAGTTTCGTTTCGCAAACAGTTAATTTTATATTTCGTTGGAAATCCCTCTTTGTCAATGGGGTCAACTTTTCAAAACCATTATAGATATCTCAAAAATCTTCTTATAACCCGTTTAGACGAAAAAGCCATTATAACCCGTTTGTTATAAAATTAAATTTGCTTATTGACTTTTTCACTCTGCTGTCATGTCCCTCCAGCACCCCACCCCCTCTGACAGCCCTATAGAGCTCCACGGGCAATTTTCACCTCCACAGCACCCCTAGGTGACAAAATACTTCAGGGGGGGGTTGGCTCCCAAAAACTTAGTAGCATAAGTAAAATAATATTATTTTGTGAAATATAGGGCTATTGTTACCCTTATTTATTAGGGCTACCCCCCCCCCAAAAAAAAGTTGCATCTAGATCTTTGCCTTGATTGTAAGTAAAATAAATATGTATTTAAAGTACTTTAGCCTTAGCTTGTTTTAGTCTTTGAAGGAATTTGAGGCTCGTGTTCTTTAAAATTGTTTATGCAAAAAGAGTGTTTATGTTGTAACCAGCAAAAAACAACGTCGTGTCCCCGCTGTAAGGAGCTCCTTTTTTGGCTAAAAAGAAAATATGCTATCTAAAGCAGATTTACTGTTACTGTGGATTTGGATGGTAAATTAACCAATTTGTCTTGTCGTTTATCTCAAGTTAGACAATCCTAGTTTTGCGGTTAGTAATTTTCGTCAATCTGTGAAGTCACAGGTTTGCGGCTATTTGGGCGTTCAAAGACCCTCGGCTCAACGGATGATGGGCTCTGGACCGCAAACATCGCCGTCATTTGAATAATCTTGTACAATTTTTGAATTCCTTTTTTCTTCCACACAACCGAAACAATGCAGTTACACAAAATGAACAACATTTGTACGGAGACCGTGCAATTCAATAGAAATCTGTCGGCCACTAGCCGCGTATCGGCGAGTATCAGTAAAATAAACCCCCCGTTGTTAATGAAAACCGACATAGCTTGCAAGTTCACGATCGCCGTAATGCCAATATGAAGGAACTTTCTGCCAGTGACCGCGAAGTTTGAGACCAGTGATTGTTTAAAGATTTAACAATCATTTACCGTTTTTTGCAATGTTCAATTTCCAAGATGATCGACGATTCTGGAAGGCAGCTGGTCGACAGGCTAAAATTTTTGATCAAATGTAACTTGGTCTTCGTTAGGCCTTCTCATGGAAAACAACATGGAGATAATTCTATGGAGGGATATCTTGATCACTTTTGCGCTTTGGGTATGTAAATTGCCCATGAAAATAAACTGAGTTCATCTTTTAGTGGCTAATTGTTCCTTTTGTTTGATCAAGAAGTCACTGTGAATATATACTTGTATTCATGCTTCAAGTGATTGAAGCGTTGACTGTGGCATCTGATCTGTAGATATTTTGAAGTTGTAAATACTTGTGATAATTACTCACAATCAATTTCTCAACACTGCGTGTTTTTCAGTATCTCATATGAAGAATGCCCACTTTTTTCTTTGATTTCCCAGTCAAAAATATCTGCCACGCAGATATCAATCCTTATTCCGAAGTTTATAGTATTTTATAGACATTAGGTATTGATATATCAAAACTGAAACTAAAGACAGTAAAATAAGGGTTTAATTGCATTTAGATCCTAGGCAAGCTGTAGTTTGCCCTTCTCAACTGGGTTTTCTGGCTCATTTGTTATGATATTTGCTTTGAATACAGCGGTTAACTGTTTTAGTAAGCACGCACTTTCTCGCTTTGGGATTTAGATCGATTTCTGTTTTAACAAGTGTCACCTTTGCAATGATTTGCTTTCTGTGTGTATTCGATAGTGGTCAGTTTTGTGGATTGGATCGAAATCTTCCGTGATTGCTCACATAACTTTGGTTCTTTATATTCAGGCTCAACATGGTATTTGCTTATTTGCCAATTAACAATGACTCGGTTGTTTCGCATTCAAGAGAACTTCTATTCTAGGTTGTCTTATTTTTTGAATGGTTTAACTCTAAGAGAATCCTTCATCGCGTCCTTCATTTCAGATTTCTGCTAGAATGGTTTCGGGGAGGGAAAAATTTACAGTCAAATGTGTGGTATGTGTTTCATTCAATACTTTGTTTCATTCGATTTTTTAAAGCAGCACCTCTTTAAATCTTTGTTATCTAGATAACTTAAACAATTATTTTCATACCAGCTTTATTAATTTAAAGAGTTTAATTTTCTGTGAACAACATATAGCTGTCAAGCCATTTGTTCAAGTTTATTGCACTTTCAGTGTTGTGCTGGTGCTAAGTGCAATTCCCAATTGAGTATTTAATTTTGTCATCATTTGAAAAGTCCCTGAAGAGCATTGCACCCAACAGGTGTTAAGATCTCCTTGGTAAAACATGTCACAAAAGAAGCCTTAAATGGGCTTTGTTCTTGCAGATTAGGATTTTCAAGTAACTTCAAAAAATGTGCAAAATTTTGAATTTGCTATGCAGGGCATATGTCCATGCCAAATGGCTGCAGTGAAAGAAAACATTAAACACCATAGAAGACCAAACCACTTTTTACACAAGAGAAGTTGACACCAAATAAATACATTCAAAAGTCCATAACTTAACAAACTTTTGTTTGCATAAAACACTGAGGCTAACATTAGTTGTAGCTGTTACACATTCATCGCAAGGAGTAACAGCTCAGGGCGAAAGCTAAGGGCTCAAGGGGGCTGAGTCTCCTTTTCTGAAAATTAACCATTTGGTACTTTGCCCTGTTGTTTTTAAAAATATTTTATAAAAGCCTCCTTATTCTTTTCATATAACTGTAACCACAGTTCTTGGTAATGTTAGAAACACCCAAATTGCCCAAATGACATGTAATTTCATCTAAATTCAATGAGAAAATTTTGGGGGAGGGGTGTTATTTTGAAAATGTATTTTTCATGACATGGCTCTATGAGTTTGAAGCTGCCTTTATGTAACCAAACATTAGATATGGGTGTTGGGAATAGGTGAAATTAGTGTTTCCAGTTGGTAAAAGTGAGTTTCCTGACATAACAAAGGGCCTGGCCTATATATTTTTTAACATTGCCCCCCCCCAAAGCCAAGTAGCTGGTGCCACCACTGCTCGCCTAATTTTTGCCAAGGTATTAGTTTTCGGTTTATCTTGGGGGCTGGGGGGGGGTGTTGTTTTGGAGATTATTGCAAAATTTATATGATCAACAGCACAGTTGCTTGATGATAAATTAAGCATGAAACCCAGAATAGCAACTTAAATTCATTCTGTTCTATACACCATTAATGTTGAAGCCCTGCCTATACAATATTGAACAATTTTGCCTTGGTAGCGGTTATAAATTTCAGTATATATAAAATAAAGATGATATAAACATATTCTGCCTCCATGATGTAAGTTTTTGTGCCATTTTGCAAACAACTTTTCTGGGTTATCACGATTTAAACTGTTCTTTTTTCTCACAGGGTAAACCAGCAAACTCACACTTGTGGAGACTGAATCAAAATCCACCATCTTACCTATTTGGAACAATACACTACCCATGGGATGTGCTGTGGAAAAACCCTAATCACATACACAAAAATGTAAAGTATGCATTCAGAAAAAGCCAAAGCATTTATACAGAACTGGATTTTAGCAATGTCACAACTCTTAAAGGTTTGCAGAAGTGTCGATTTCTTCCAGGAAACTTGACTTTGAAAAATATCTTGCCACAAAGCCTTCTGACACGCTTGAGAAAACATCTTGAACATGTGAGGAGATCATTTGAGAGTTGGCTACCCAAAAACTTCAATACAGCTTATCCAAGAGCTTTAGCTGCAGACTATTTGTACAGTGTAATTACTCAGAACTGGAAGAGAAAAAGACCTGTTTGGCTAGTGGTTTTAATTATGCTCGAACTGACACCCTCAAACATCAAGAGGCAGCAAATGGATATCTTAGATTTGTTTTTGACAAAACGGGCAAAACAGCAAGGGAACAGTATTGGAGGTTTGGAAACAGCAGAAGACCAATGTGATCCATTCAACAGCATTAATAACAGACAGGTAGTATTTTTATTTCCAACTCAAAGTGCTTGTCATTTCTATGTATAAGTATTGTCAGTTTCCTTATCAAGAATGTAAAAACAGAAATTTCTCCTTGCCAAAACTCCCTATAGGGCTATGGATGGTTTTTCAACCTTAGATCACAAATGGCTCTGGGCTTAGTTTTTGGCATCGATCTCTTTATGTTTCTTTATTTCTTTACCTCCATAGAAACTCAATGTTGTATCTAGACAACAAGGTTTTCAGGGACATTTATTCAAACTTTATTTGTTATATGAAGAAATCTGTCTAAAGTTATTAATATCTTGAGAAGTACATACACCAAGTTTGCAACTATATGAAGTATTTATTTTGTTTATTTGTAAAAATATTTTTATGACAGAAATTGAGAGCAACAAACTCATTTCCATTTGTAGAAAAGCATTTTTATATGCACAAGTGATACACCTGTTTCACATTTTTTTGTAGACTCATGCTATAACTATTGTAATTGAAAAATTGTTTGCTAAGTACCAATCAAGATTTTTTACTTGATATATTTTCATAAGTGTAGGTTAAATGTTTCAGTCTTTCTATGGAGGCATGCTTATATAGCTAATTGAAATGGATTTTTATGTTTTTGGTCACTGATATTCTGGGCTAATGATTTGATTAGATCCAGTTATTCATGGATTTTAATAAAAACATTTCAGCCCTGTGAAGTAATGTGTATAATGCATATCTTAATTTTTCAGGTAGGGGCATATGTCTTAAGCCTGAAATACACGATCATTTTTTATCAGTTTTTTGACAGACAGTTTTCAGTTTTTCAAAAACTGATGTCCTTCATACACGATCAGTTTTTGACTGATAGCTTTCAGTCTCTCAAAGCAGATGCCCTCCATACATGATCAGTTTTCTTCACTTTTCGACTGACAGCTCACTCTGTTTTGATATGGAGCTTGATCGTGAACAAATTGCAGTTCTTTTTGCTACAGCTTTGGTCCTCAAGAAAAGGTGAAAATACGAAAAATTCAAACTATTTGCATTTGGAAACTACTTTTGAGTCTGACATTACATTGCATAATGATTTTCCATACTTCCAAACATATATAAATTCATCTTTGTTTGTAACTTTTCCACATTTCGAAATCAACGATGCTCTGAAAAAATTTGTATCTTGGGCTAGGGTATTAGAGTGGTGCCAGATTAAATCAATGGAGTCTGCACCAATGAATAGAAATCCCATCAGTTAAAAACTGATGAAGTTGGACATGCTCAACCTTTTCAGTCAAAAACTGATGTTCATTAATGCATCAGTTTTTGTCAGTGTTTGCTAAATACACCATCAGTTTTTGACTGAAAACTGTCAGTTAAAAACTGATAAAAACTGATCCTGTATTTTAGGCTTTAGAAACGTTTTGCATTTAGGGAAATGCTATTTGAATTTCACTATTGAAGAGCTTAATCTTTATAGATGACAGATTAAAAAGGTAGTTATATTTTTTATCCAGGAAATTTCCCATTGTAACCACGAAGATTACCATCATTTTGTAATGATGGGGCTTATGAATCTCAAAAGCTTTTTATTTAACCTGTTCTAAAATCCATTCATGGCCAAAGTAATTGCCAATGCAGTGCTCTAATCTAAATTCCAGTATAGGTAATTATGCCGGTCAAATATTTCAAAGGACCCATACCTCACCCTTTATGAATAATTTAGTCTTTTGTTTGCTTGCCCCCATATGCCAAAGGCAAACTTTTATTGGTTATAAAATAAGAATGAAAGAATGAATGGTCTTACAAAATGTTCTATTTGTGTGGCCCAAGACTTGGAATGACTGCAATATTAAGTTGATTTGTGAATCAAATATCAGCCATTGTGATTAGGTGGTTTGCACACCCAATGAATTCAATTCCTCTTGACCTCTTCTCTTAGAAGCGAGATCCCCAATATAATCCATTGGCATCTGAGATCAATATTGTCTGTAATTGCCATTTTAAGAGGGGAGGCCCACGACAGGCCACTAGCACCACAAGCATGTAAATGACTTGTGACTACGGGGTAGCCTTGTTCTCTGCACATTGCCACATTTTTAGAAACTAGGACAACTGAATAAGCTGACGAAGAGAACAAATTAAGCAATTTTAGCGCTATTTTGTTCAAAAAGTATTGATGTTATGGAAGGGTATCAGCTAAATTTGCAAGGCCATTGTTACCAAGGGTTTACCTAACGATTTGGACAGAAAAAGAAGATTTCTCTAGAACAGATACCAGCAGATACTCTACTGTAAAAAAACTGGTAACCTTATGCAAGTGTCAGCGCTGGCTACTCGACAAGTCTCTAGATTGACCTCAATGCTTTAAAAATGAGCCTAAAAGGCAATTGAAATGCCCAAGTGGTTCTCCTCCTACGTTATGAGTTCGGGTTTTGTCCCAGCGGGTTGCTAGGGTTGCTAGCCAGGGGATAAAACATTCCAGGACCCAACTGGAGCTACGGGTCTTTGGCTCTTGATTCGAGTTTTGCAGCGGAGAATAGCTGTACCAGGTCCAGTAGTAAGTCCAACGAGGTTATAGTCGATGAGGTTATAGATTTCGAACGAGGTTATAGTCGATGACCCTCCCCCTTTCAACAACTATCTAGTACACCCCACAGATTTGACTTTCAAAGTAATACCATTTTTTGAGTCACCGCTAGGCAAAAGCACACAGAAAGGCGCCAAAGGATCAGATCGATTTGATGGTTGAAGCCAAATGGACATGAAGAGAGAGAGAGAGAGTACAGACATGCAAAAGATAACAAGATCAAACGTTAGCAAATGCATGCAAAGCTAAAACACAATTAAGTCAGCTCTAAAGATGTTCCTCAAAAAGGTTTATTCGATGTGTGACTACCAGTACTAACTAAACATTGACTCCAGGGGGTCCAGGGGGCTGAGCCCCTTTGTTACTGCCAAAATATAACCAATTTCTACTTTCGCTATTGTTTTTAGCAACATAATGTAAAAGAGCCCCCCTTGTTATTTTGATATCACTACACCACTGATTGACTCTATGTTCAAGATTTCTGACGACCACTTATTTCAAGATGATAATTCAGAGACAGCTTTAAACTCGAGTCCCCGTGGATAAAAAAGACATGCACCGAGTTTTGCAGAGAAGTTTTGTCACATCAAGTATCTCATAGAAATCTGAAGAAGTGTTCCGTTATCTACGTCAACACACTGTCTTGATCCCATAATGATAAGATACAAAATGATTTGATTTTTATGTCCAGTATAGGAGATCCAACGCCTCACAGAACATTTCTCATCTTTACCAAATGAACCTTCTTGAAATTGTCTAAAAATATTTTAAATATGCTGCTGCCAATATTAGCGTAATTAATTTTAGATTGTCTAAATAACTTTTCAATGTTATGTATATTGGACTGTATCTGTGACGGAATTAGATTTAGCCACGGGGGTTCTCATATATTTTTAGAATGGGATGCTTAGTTCACTTTTTGGGTCTATAGTTTGAGCAAAAGGTATTCTAGGCCTGTCAATGGTACAATTAACTTTTGGAAATATTTTTTGGGTCTTGATTATTAGAAAAATCCAAAAAGTAGAGAAAGTTGCAAACTTTTGTGTGCTAGTCGAGATAAATTATTTTTGGGACAATTTTTATGCTATAAATCATTTTTTCGGGTTGATCATTTGTACTCTAGCTTGAGAACCCTATCCTTAATATAAAAGGGTACTCCTTTCACCATGGCTAGGCAAAAAAGGGTAAGTAATAACTTCAAATTAAGGTTGTTCGTTGAAACTATATTTTTAATCAAATACCAAGGTCTTTCTTTTAGAAGCAAGATCACTGACAGTTTGATCTTGACCATCTAGTTTCATTTTCGCTTCTATCTTTACTTACAACATGCGCCATTATTAATTCTCTCTTATAAAATTTTTTTTTTTAAGCTATATCATATTATCTTTTTGTTTCCGATAAGTATCTCATTTTCAGTTTTTTTGTCTTTGAAAAGCAGACGATTTGTCATATAATTTTTCAAATAATACTGAATGTTGCTACTAATTTTGTTTCAAACACACTTTTAACCCTTGGATATATCGCCGTAGCATTATTGAAAACTTCAGTTTTGTTGTTCTTTAGCTATCTTCAAGAAAAACCAAACTCATTTAGATTCAGTCATCACTTGTTTCTTTTGTATGTGAGTCTCTGCGGTCTTTATGAATGTTTAAATGTATAGACGTGTCAGTTCTTCACGTGGCAAGACCTGAGAGCAGTGTCCAAAAAAGCGTTCACCTTCTCTCCGGCCAATAAGACAACAATATCAAAACTGTTATAAAAAATAATCAAGGTGTTGTCTTGGCTTGAGAGTTGAAATTTATTTGATTTAATTGAACTTCTTGATGGTCTTCAGCCATGCGGTCTTCACTTTTTCTGGACACTGTCTATCTGTTGACGCCATTTTGATAAATGATCATTTCGTTCTAGGCCATCTTCTTGCTGAACTATACGCTTCACCTGCAAGAACTTATTCGCAGTGGGAAGATGAAACCTGAGCACGAAAGCGAGCAAAACAAGATCTTAAAGGTTTATTTATGTGGAAATCTAGAGAAAGGTATCATCACTGGTTCGCGTCGACTTCTTGTTAATAGCAATGCGAGACACCATGTTCCAGCAAGCCAAGTAAACAAAATCATCCAAATAGAAGAATACCTCATGAAGAAGTTGGTTTATAAGAGAAACGTGAAGATGGCAAGAAGGATTGATGAAATTTTGAGAGCAAACAAATCAGTGACATTTTTCTTTGCCATTGGCACAGGTAAATTTATGCCCCTGTTTTGTTCGTTTTGTTTCTCCTTTTATTTACACTTTCGCCCCAATTCGCATGAGAAATTCGATATTGGAGGACGCTTTTTAATTCATTGGTTTTTGCCACAGATAGCTTCTGGCGATATCTTTCCATGGCCTAAATTAAATGCTCTGTGTTTATCTATTTAGCGCAGCCGGTTCTTGTTATATTTATTATGCGTGTGCCGTTTGCTCTTGCCGGGGAGAAGAGGTAAGTGGAGTGAGTCTGGCCGGTCCTTTTTTAATTGTCATATACTGCGGAATGCTGTTAAGCCTTATTTCAGGCGCCAAGTCTCTTACCATTCGAGAGACGATGCAGCTGTCCTCTTGCCCCTGCCCCCTTGCTTTGTCACTAGTTGTTGGCTGTTGCCAGTGCCTTCAGACCCAGTATATTCTGATATTGAAAGGTGGCAGTACTAACAGACTTTGTTTAGAAATTTATTAAAAAGGAAGGTCTCAGTTATCCTGCTCTGTCGTTCTGGGTAAAGGGAGCTTATTGTAGTCTATTTACGGACAAAACCAAAAATTTGTGAATTTTGTTGAGCGGAAAGGCTTTCGATTTATGAATCGCCTTGAAGTGGTTTTTGTTCATTCGTTTTAAATGAGAAACGGAAACAGGCGCGGATATACAGAATGACCGACTGTTTTAATGTAGTAAAATGCATGAATCCACACACTGCTCAGCCGACACCACTCTATGTTCCTTTTGAAAGGTCAATAAACCAGAACTTCAGTCTTATCAATGAAGGATTTTTGCCTGAAGTTTTGCTGATAACGGGGAATTGCTTTTAAGTGAGGTCCTGCTGCTTCGAAATTCGCTAAGATGGCAGAGATAAGAAATCAACGTGAAGCCCGTGAAAAGACCCTGTTTTGAAATTACGATACGAAATTAAACCCGTGCTGAAAGTATGGCTTTGCACGCCAAAGTCTGGTATAATCATACCTTCCGAAATGCATTCATGAATCGATTACTTAAAGGAAAGCCTGACGGCATGACAAAACAAAAGCAGTATTACTGTGTCAGTGAAGATTTGTCACGCGAGGACCCAAGCAATTTTCATCCATCCAGGCCCCGAGAACCAAAGGCCGTCCTCATCCCACAAGAGCCAGGCCAAATTCAATGAAACTGTTTGGTTCTCTCTAGATGCCTTTTATTTAAGTGGGTGATCAAATTTTCCTCTCTTTTTTATCAAGCACCTCCCTTGTCACTACTGACGGGCCCCTTCACATTTTCTTGATTCTTGCTTGCTAGCTTTTCGCTTCAGCTTCATAAAGACCGTGGCTATCTTTCAACAAAATTCCTCCAAAAAATTATTGCATACACAATATCGCCAAATTTTAAACACATTTGAGCGGAAATCCAAGTGCAGTTGTCAACTGTTGTCGATGTTTGAATGTTATGGCTAGCAAAATCTCTATTTTGGGTGCTAGTTATTTCTTCTTGGCTATTTAACTGCTTTTAGGCCAGGTGGTCAAAGAACTAGTTCCTTCATACATGCCTCATACACCTGTGTAAACTTACTAACTTGGCTCTATACATATCCTTATGTAAAGGCGTATCCTTTTCTCTGTCACAGGCCTGTATTCGGTGAGGTTTATCTTAATCGTCTTTAAACCTCCTCAAATTTCCATAAAACTATATAAGGCGCTACTGCTAAAATATGTAGGTCATATGTTATTGGATTATTCCTTTCTTTCTCTACTAGTAAGTTCTGATAAACTATAAATATAATACTTTTTTGTCTATTCAGGCACTCATTCTCATGTAACTTTTCTCGAATGCTAGTTTTGCGTTGGATGGAATGGATATCACTGAGTGATATCGGATAAGACTGGATGGTCACAGATGTGACTGAATGGTGTCGGATAGGATTTGATAGTCACAGTTCCAACTTAATGGTGTCTGATGTGACTGCCTAGTCTGAGATTTGACTTAGTGGTGTCTGTTGTCTGCTAGGATTGCCTAGTCTTACATTTGACTGAGTTGATGTCAGGTAAGTTTGGATGGACACAGATGCGACTGAATGGTGTCGGATAGGATTTGATAGGCACAGTTCCAACTTAATGGTGTCTGATGTGATTGCCTAGTCTGAGATTTGATTTAGTGGTGTCTGTTGTCTGCCAGGATTGCCTAGTCTTACATTTGACTGAGTTGATGTCGGGTAAGTTTGGATGAACACAGATGCGACTGAATGGTGTCGGATAGGATTTGATAGGCACAGTTCCAACTTAATGGTGTCTGATGTGACTGCCTAGTCTGAGATTTGATTTAGTGGTGTCTGTTGTCTGCTAGGATTGCCTAGTCTTACATTTGACTGAGTTGATGTCGGGTAAGTTTGGATGGTCACAGATGTGACTGAATGGTGTCGGATAGGATTTGATAGGCACAGTTCCAACTTAATGGTGTCTGATGTGACTGCCTAGTCTGAGATTTGACTTAGTGGTGTCTGTTGTCTGCTAGGATTGCCTAGTCTTACATTTGACTGAGTTGATGTCGGGTAAGTTTGGATGGACACAGATGCGACCGAATGGTATCAATAGGATTGCATGGTCTCTTATGCTATTAGATTCATATTCAATTATAGAAATAAAATTCGCCCTTGAGTAACAGCATCTGTGTTCCTACGTTTTTTATCCGACGATAACAATTAAAATTCTTTAGAAACCGCACTAAACAAAAAGTAACGAATAGTTTATACGCCTACTTTTTGAAAAGTATGGAAGTTTTCCGTCCTAGAGACGCAGACTCGGACGGAGACAGGAATAATAACATTCCCTGACATTTCGATTACGTGAATATGTCTTTTGTGAACTCTTTTTCACACAATCTCTATTATTGTTTAAAGTTAGTATTTTTTAAAGTCTGTTTTTATCTTTTTTTAATCGCACTTTCTTGTCATTTTTCATTAGACACAAACTGATAAACGTCGCCCTCTATTAAACGCCGCATCTTAAAGTTGGATTTTGTAATAAACGCCGCGTTTTTTAAGAGTTAATACGGTATTATCTTTTGGAAATATTACTCACATTCTTAGAATTTTTATCAAAACTATTTAATTTGAATGTTTTAGGTCATCTGTCTGGAAAGTCTTCAGTAGTTGAGTTATTAAAAGAAAAAGGCCACAAAATAGACCACATTAAACCACTCGATATGCTAGCAGGGTAAGTATCAGAATTTTCTTTTATTTTCTGCTTTTTGGGGTATTAGACAAATTACATTACTGAAGAAAGATTAATTCTATTCCGTCAAACATCGCCGGTAGTGTGAATAACGATGTGATTTAGATTGTTAGATCAGTTTTCAATCAATCTGAAGAAATTTGACTGCTTTCTCTACTGTCGAGTGATGCTATTTTAACCACCTTGAAGTGTAAGAGCTTACAAGAATCCAGCTTTGCTTTCTTTAGAATTAGTGTACATCGATATGTCATGTTTATAAGATGCTTTTAATGTAACTAAATAGCAACGCTTTCAATCTATGTCAACATTCGGCAATGCTGGCCTAACTGCCGAGTCAACATACGCTCCAGGTCGGCTTTCGTTCAATGCCGAACTTGCTATCGTTTATGGTCGGCATGACAAGAAATCGACAATGCTGGCTATCTGAATCTCCATGCAAGATGCAGTGGTGGTTTTAGGGGTCCAAGGGGCCGCGACCCCATGTCCCGTGCTTATGGTAGCCAGAAAGGGCCCTACACCTGAGAAAAAATAATTTTAAAGAACAACGGCCCCGCCGATGTTTTCTGACCCGGGTCCCGCATTCCCTAAAACAGCTGATGGCTGCCCGGCTACACGATACTTCATATTTTCACACTCGCTGATAAATTTTTTTTTATTTTAAGTTCTTTTTTGTTTTGTAAGTGCCTCCTCGCCCTAGTAGAACTTCTAAAAAGGTCTTGATTTCAGTCTACCACTTCATTTCTAAAAAATTATGGACTCTCTGGAGAAACAAATTTCATTGATATTTTTCGTTATACTGTGGTTCGCTAGAGAACCAGTTTTTTGCTCGCACACACTTGCATTGCCTAGCTAAAAATTGTTCGAGGCCGGCAAAATTTTGCCCAACCTACAGCCGATTTAGGTCAGTGGGTTCGTACTGGAATAAAAGGGTTGCAAATAAAGACATAAAAGCAGAACGGGTTTATATGATCACCTAATGGGATTTGACTGGACTTCGTCTAGAGGGAAAGAGAAGATTTTTGAGCACCTCCCCATATATGAGAGCACTTATCTGCAGAAGGACCCGTTGTAGTGTCTAGTCAGTATATCAGCTGCTGCTTTCTCAATTTTTAGCAATAGTAGATCTATATAGAATATGCTTTTATGTAAAGTGTTAACAAAGGGATGGTGTTGCTATGAGTAGCCCTCTGGGATCTGCCTTGGCCAATATCTTTGTTGTTGCTTTTCATGAAGAGCATTTGTACGACTAGTCTAGGGCAGTGTGCAAATAAAATCAATTTTGTGAGATTATATGTTATAATTCATGTGCCCGTATGCTACCACACCACTAAGCAGCTTCTAGCAACTAATTACCTGAGGTCATGTGTCGAAGAGATTTATCTAAAGGCCTGTCAACGCACTGGTCGACGGGAGAAAGGACTTGGCACCACCCCTTTCCCAGGACTCGATCGTTTCAGCAGACCAAAAGCCAGGTATCTATTTTCGATAAGTGAAGGACACATATACCATTTTTAAAACAGAGGCTGAGTGTGATATTTTTCTTAAACGCCTACACCCAGCTCTCCAGTTTACGTTTGAAAAGGAAGAAAATGATTCCTTGCCGTTTTTAGATGTTTTGGTCGAAAAGTCTAACACTGGTTTTCTTACCAGTGTTTATCGTAAGACCACTTTTACCGGTCAGTACATACGCTTGAGTTCTTTTTGCTCAAAACATCGCAACGTCAACCTCGTCAAACTTTAGTGCAAAGGACACTTATGATATTCTCGAAAACTAAAATCCATGCAGAGCTGGACAAATTTAAAACGATCTTTCTGGAATACGGCTAACCAGAAGATGTCATTTCTTCTTACTAGTGGGAAAAGATCGCACGTTTTCGGCTGTCCAAAAGTTCGGTTCACAAAAGTGGCCAGTTTATCTTCAACTGCCTGGATTAATAATTCCTTGCGATTTAAAAGTTAGATTAAACAGGCCATCAGAAAATTTTCTTTGCTGGCAATCCTCGTATTGTATACTATACTACGAGAGCCCTTCCATCCATTCAAAAGGATTACGTTCCTACCACCCAAAAGAGTTCTGTTATTTATGAGTTTACGTGTCAGTATGATTCTGGCTACGTAGGACGCACAATTCAAAGATTTGGGGATAGGATATTCAACATGTCCCTTTCACCATTAGAAACAATACTGCCCCTCAAAGAGAACAGCCTCCTCGATCTTGTAGGTCTAAAAACACTAGTGACTCTGCCATCGGACAACATCTTTTAGGCAACCAAGACTGCGAAACTCTTTAATGAAGACATATTTCAGATAATTGGCAGAGCCCAGTCGTCTTTTCATCTAGCAGTTTTGGAATCGATCTACATACAAACGAAAAAGCCGCCATTGTGTAGACAGAAGGAGTTCGTTTTCTCTCTTGGACACCTGTGGTAATATTTCTATAGGCACGCAACACTGATTGGGCAACTATGCCGGTCATGTGCTTGCGTTTTTCTGATTGGCCTATTTCGGCCCACAACTAGGTATATATTTTTCATCGTGGTGTTCTCTCGGACCCTTATTTTGATGTTTTATACTCTGAGGAGTGTCAGAAGTCGTTTTAATGTGTTTGTCGCAGTCTATAGTGATTAATAGATATTTAGTATTTTCATGTTTATACAGTAGTCTGTCATATTACAGAGATAATATTTTCCTTCAGATTTTTCTAAAAATGCGTGGATTCATTTTAGAAATTATCATTAGAAGATTATCATACCTTCATCTTTTTTCTTTTTTCCCGTCTGAACTGTTTTCCCCAAAGTGAATTAAGTCAACCTGTTGATATTTATAGTTTTAGAGTTCACTGTTTTGGTAGTTTCTGGACCACTATTTCATCGGTAGTAACAATTGTAATTCATTGGTAAAAGGCCTATATTTTCATTGGTAAATGTTTCATGACTATGTGCTACTTTGGAAGAAACCGTTTTTTACCATCGCTGAATGAGCTGCATTGACTGACCCCTTTATCCCCGTTATATAATGCTCTGAATAAAGTTCCCCAGTTGGCACTTGTCCTTGAAGAAAATTCAGCGGGTCATGAAGTACCGCAAATCCTCGAATTAGCCCCCTGGGGGCTTATTTATTTTTGATATTTCTGGATGGGGGCTTATACGAGGGGGGGGGCTTATAGAATCAATGTTGAAATTAAAAAGACATTATCAAAGGACCTCGTTTATTTTAGTAGAAATTTCTTTATAAGCATTTAATTAATTACTACCAAAAGTATGAATTTGTTGTGGTAATTCAATAAAAGTGGGGGGGGGGCTTTTTCGAGGGGGGCCAATTCGAGGATTTATGGTAATTAATAAGTGATACTTTCATGATAAGAACAAATCCTAACATCTCTTGTCTAGAGACATTATATTTTGCGCTTTGTTCAGGAACTAACCTGCACATGTGCCTGTTGGCACTATTACTGCCTCCTGTCACCATTCCTGACCCTGAAAAGAAGATTTGGTATTGTCATACTCAGCATATTGCCAATGGTTCAGTTTTCTATGAAAACGGAAGTTTAGGAAGTGCTCTCTTAATTTTAGCTTCAATAATGCTGGCCCATTAAAGGCATAATTGATAAGATTGGTGACCTGGCTTGAACGGTCTGGTATACCCAGCCACGGGCACTTTACACATTTCACACAAGATAAGGTGGTTTTAATTAGCGTTGCTTATCTGTGAAAACAATTACAAGTATATGAAGAATTATATTAATTTCTTGGCTGATGAGAATTCCAAAGAAGATCAATCATGTATAAAACGATAGTTTTGGCACAGGCCCTGACAAAGGTTGGAAAGTGAGGTGGGGGCCTGGGAAAAATTTTATCATCCATAGCAAAAGCTTTTGAAAAAGCTTTATTGTTTTTCAAACAAGTGGGAGAGGGACTATGACTCTTTATGCTGGTGGCTGATGGTATATCAAGGTCGGTGCTAGAGATACAGGATAAGAAAGACAACGACGATATATTGTTTAAGCTTAAATTTTATTTCCAGTAGAGGACTGTAGAACTTCGATGATAAATCATAAAGTAAATTCTAGTTTAGGTCCCAACTTCGATCCGTTCTAATTCTAAGACTTCTCTAATCACATTCAATTCAAATCTACTTTCTTAAGCATAGTTAAACATTGTACACGTTTAGTGACTACAACAACAACTATTGAGGAATACGTCATACCATACAATTTCTTATGGGCCCTGTTTCGTTGCCTAAAATTCTTACGAAAAACATTTCCCTTTCTTTAGTTTTGTAGTTGTTGTTTAACGACATTTGCTTTATAACGGACTTTGTTTACTCCTAGGCAACGCAGGTGGGAGAAAAGGCGAGAGCGACGAAGGGCTAACAGGAGACGTGGGCAGGAAAAGGAGACTTTAAGCTTTAATTTCCATCGTACTGCAAAGCCCAGAGTGACGACAACAATCAGAACAACAGTTGCTGTACGGAAAGAGTAAGTCATTTTCTAAAAGAATACTTTAACTGCCAATGTTAATGGGTCCATAGAAAGTGTTATTTCGTAATCGGCATTTAGTTCCAACCCATGTAATTTTAGCTGTCGTTCTTGGCAGTGTCAATATTTGAAATATGTGTTTACTGTGTCAATGGTGTGGGTGATAAACGCCAGGTAGGAACAGTCTTTCCGATGGCTTTCTGATTAACTAGTCTTTGCATGAACTCTACTGAACATGTTGGGAAAAAATTTTTATCTTCGAAAGCAAGCCTACCCTTCTTTAATCGTTATTGAAAATTTAAGCAACAAAGACACATCTTCGAAAATTGTGTATTTTAACGTATTTTGATTGTTATCAATTCATAATACGGACCTGTGCAAGACTCAGAAACTGGAAGCAACTATGACCAATTTCTTTATGCCTTGCTTTTCAATTCCTCAGAAAGTAAACTAGGTTAATCGAGCATTAAGACGTCGTTCTTGCATCTAGCAAAAATTTAAGAAGGTTATTTGCTTGGTCGTGCTATTTGGTCGTGCTAACTAAAGATTGTTTTTTACTTCTTCCACCTCCTAAGCTATTTGTCGGTCTGGGAATGATACATTAATGTAATTGTACAACTTTTGTTAGCAGAAACAAATTTGGTGATGGCACAGTGGATATGTCTCCAACAAATTCTACGGATAATGTTTCAACAGAGAACGACAAACAACCATATGTCTACTACTACACAAATTCAAACTCAAAAGTTGCTGATGATGTTAGCATTATGATGGTATGCTTGTACTTGATTTACATCTTGCGACAGGTAGTGACGTAGAAAGCGAGGTATCTAACCCACACGGGTATGTTCTTCGTGTTTCCACTGCGAGACTACGGCCTGTTATTGATGAAAGAGAGGCCTATACTCCAATCAGTTGCCAAAGCGAATTCTATCAAATGCCAGAATGATGTGAAAAAGTCAGAAGGTGTTGCAGATTTAAACATAAGTACAGAGAAGCGAAACTGAAAGATGTGCTACGCCTACCGATTTGTGTATCATTTGTACTTGTGATGTGAAATAACAACAGGCACTCAGAAAAATGTAATGCTAAGCACTCAGAAGTTAATATGGAAACAGCAGCTACAAGAAACAGCTAAATAATTTATATATCCCACAATTTTTATCCACAAAATTGCTCCTTTTCACAAAGATATTGATAGTTGCAACGAAAACATTCGTTACTAGGAGCGACAATTTGTCTATAATGTATTTAATTTTTTAAACGTTTTTTTTTTAAACCTGTGGTTTTAGAATCTCGTTGTAATATAATGCCACGAAGGAATTCAGATGGGTATGGCTTTTTAGCTAGATGCCAGGGCTTTGAGAGGCATTAAGCACATGGTCCCATGTTTCAGAAAGGTTTATTGGTTTTTTAAACACTCCTATGCAAATCCCATTTCAACCCCAAGGTAAAGTTGACCCTGGCCTGTGAAGGGAATCACATCGAGTGCCGATCCTACTGTATGCCCCAACAACCCTACCCCAACTCCAAATTTTGCTTGTCAGAACTTGATTGCCCCCATATCCCAATAGACCTAAACTTTGTCTTGTTAACTGGTTCGTGATCTCTAGATCCTAGATATTCCATAAATCTAAGCGCGGTAGTGAGCACAAGTTCGCTATAACTAAATTGTTGGCGTTAATTAGCTTTTTAGCTATATGTATTTTTTTGTTCTTTCTTGCCAACGTTAAAGGAATTGTTAATAATAGCAAAAGCAAACTTTCGGATTCTTTAGTGATATATTTTCTTCTAACTATGCTATTCAATGAATTTTAACGATTGGCTTCAGCAAGATACTCAAAGGGGCCTATCAAAATCGAACAAGCAAGTTAGCTATGAGTATTTTTCTTAACGTTGGTACCGCACGTACAGGCCTTGCACGTATGCGAACTTCGAGAACCGCTCCAATTTACGTCTCCTTATCAACTGATACAAATATGTTCAGTTATAGGCAGCCTCTCACTACCAAACAGTTTGAAACGGGGATATTTTATTAAATTCTTTATTAAACTGTTGTAATGCATCTAGTCTTCAATTGCCATGATTAGAGCGAGAGTGGTAGCACAGAGCTCACGAGCTCTCTTTTTAACTGGCTGTTATTTGCAGTTTCTGTCCAGTTTCTCAATTCGTTTATAAATATAAGTGTCCATCAAAACGAGATCTGAGTAAAAAACTCTCCCTGCGAATATATTTAAAGTTTCATAAATTTAAAGGCTCATAATTCCAGTGAATGGGAAAAGTCTCTTCTCATCAAATTGATCTTTTGGAATTTAACACTTGTAAACTGAGTCGCTTTTGGGCGTTAATGTTCATTTGTGTTTTATTTAAGCTGTTTAGCCACTTCAGTCTTGGTATGGATCGATTTCAAGTCATACCAAGCAGGTAATTAGGTTCGAAAGACTTATATTTTAAAGAATACTGTCGCGTTATATCTTCAGTGGGTTGTCAAAATGGGCCTAGGTGTGCCAGTCCAGTAGACTGGCCGGGATGAGCGTCTAATACCGTATTTATGCAGTATTAGTTTGTTTAAAGTTTGGTTTCCCAAATCACATTTGGGTTTTAGGGTCTGAGAATATCTGAGACAACATTAGCATCACTGATAAATAATATGTAACTAGATGTGCAGTTTTTATAACATCTATTTTCGTATGAGCAAGCATGCTTTTTAACATCTAAACTTTGCAGAATCTTTTGAGGAATCAAGTCAGTCGAACGATGTATCGTATCTGTTGAATATATTTTTATCATGAGTAATTTGTATTCGAATTTTTATATGTATATATTTTTATTCAGTGTTGTTATGTATATAACAAGATTTAATCGGCAAATGAAATCAAAATGCCTTAAAGTCTCTTTCTCAAAATGTACTTTGTCTTGATCTAAGTAATCCAGGGCCGCGATATGATAAATTATTTCTGTCCAATTTTATCAAGCCTCTGCACATTTGCTTATGGTTTAGAAACATAACTGTCAAAATTGAAGGTTATTGTTCCCCACTGCTAGCATCACAAATGAACGCTTGTTTTTTGCAAAATCCAATTATTATTTAAAACCCCTCCTCCATTCCTTGCTGCTTAAATCCGTCGCTGTAGCTAACACTAATGAAGAAATTTGGAAGGCAGCTTTTTACCTTTGAGGCTTCTGGAATAAGTTCAAGATCGATGCTTATGGCACTCCACAAACGTCACACGAAACTCAATACAATGTAACATCTTTCATATTTTCACATAATCAAATTTTAGCTAAACTGATATAATTTTCCCAGCTATAAACCTGCAAATTTCCACATTTGTAAACAAAGTGCATCCAAATTCCCACCTTCGCGATGCAACATATAAACGAAGTGACGGATAAAATTTAATGTGATAGTGGACCACCGAAGGTACTTGATTGGTTTCTTGCGTTCGGTGGCCTAGGCTGCAAATTGCCTCGCAGTACTTGAATTATAAGGCCTCTGTTTTTCCAAATAGTCTTTGATATTAAATTAGATTAAATAGTTATTCAAAAATATCTTAATACTCTTGAAAACAGTCCCTTGATCTCCTTTCGAAATTGACCGTTCCATATTCCATAAATAATTGGGTTTAACAATACCTTTAGGTCCACGACAGTTATAATATAGAAGAGGGCAACCGGGTCGATCTTCTGAGAATTGACATTGCTGGTTCCCTGTGTAGATAACATTATGATATTGACAATAAACGCTGGTACCCAGCACACTGTATAGGCTACAACAATTGCAAACATGACTTTCGTTACTTTCAGTTCCACCCTGAAAGAGCTATGTGACCTTACGGTCGGTGCAGTGCGCAGAGTTCTGTCATCTGGAGATTTCACAGTTCGATTCAATTTTTGTGAAGATTCATTTGGTTGGGGAGGAGGGACTGTGGATACCTCTGAATTTCGATCTTTTATTTCACTGTCGCATCCGATCGAAATGCATCCTGCAGAAACTTGAGACTGCTTTTCGTTGTTGACTTGGGAAGATCTTTCTTCGTTTGCAGACCGATTTGAGTTGCTTCGTTTCCTATAACGACCTTGATATGAGGAGAATTTTGCGGAATCAAGACTCGCCTGAGTATTCTTCCTATGCTGACGCAACTTTAAGTAGATACTTCCGTAGGAAAACAAAATGGCGACATAACCCACCCCCATTATATAAATGTAGAAAATGATTCTGTACGTCTTGTTCTCTCTAGCCCAATTGGTGAAGCAAACTCCATGATATGGGCTGTATGCGTACAATCCTACACCAATCACAGGTAGCAACGCCAGAATTATAGTTGGAAGTGCAAGCATAAGGCAATAACAAGCTGTGTTTCGCCTTGAAAAAATTCTGTTGAACGATACAGATCGCACCATCTTGACGTAACGAACAACGCCGATTGCTGCCAAGAGAAGGGCAGAATGGATAAACGTTATTGTTGAAATGAAGCCTGATATCTTACAATAGTAGCCGAGATCAATACATGGTTTCATGTGCTGTTCTTTGGATAGCAAACTCAGGTTTGTGTATACTTTGACTGGTAATATGAACACGGCTTTTGTCAAGTCAACGAATGCCAGCTGTACTAGGAAAATATTATTGACATTTCTCAAAGCTTTCCTTCGAAAGAACGCGGTTATGATGGTGGAATTTCCGATAATCCCTCCAAGGGCAATAATTGCGCTCAAAACAGCATTGCTGTAGACTGCAGAGGTTCTGCTGGGTGTTAAGTAAGTAGAATATGTTTTACTAGTATGATTCGCTCTCATGTCAGATACTGTACTGTAAATGCAGCTTTCCATCTTTCCACCATCGGCGAGCAATGCTGACTGAAGTCCACTCTATGCCAGCTTTTGTCTTATAGATTAACAGAAATGGAACATAATCAAATAACAATTTACCAGAGTGAATCAAACCGCTAAAGATCAAATCGAACAAAAAGATATCAAATTCCCTGTTCCAGTTACTATGTCTGGTATATTTACCAAGCAACGGAGGCGTTGTTCACAATGACAGGGATCGTGTTCCCAAAACACTTTTTTGAAGGTTACAAAAACATTTGCATAAGGTAGGTTGTTCAACTCAGCACTATGGCCAGTCTTCTCTAAATGTATGCGCTTCCTAACTTTTCAAACTTTGGTAAGCGTTTGATTCTGTCACTGTCCGACGATTTGTCATTGCGTACAAACATATCATAAGAAGAAAATGCTCCTGGACATTGTGTTAGCATTCCTCGAAAAGGTCTTGTCGGCCAACTTTAAAACATTAAGCAGATGTGGATTGGATAAACAAACGCATGGTTAAAAAATCTGCAGAAGAAATGCAATCATCCTTTCTAAAAAGCAACTTGGAAGTTCTTAAGTCAACACTTTTAGTCGTGCAAACATTTGGGTAATTATTAAGAACTTAGAGAGAATTTATTTGCATGTACGACTAAATCTCAATAGACAATTCCCATCTGATGGAGGAAAAGCAATAAGATCTGCTCCATATTTCTTCTCTTGATTATCTGTGATATCTGGAAATGTTCACTCGCCGAAAATCCTCGAGTAAGCTCACGGGGGCTTATTTGCAAAAATGATCTTTTAAATGGGGGCTTTTTCGTTCGCTTTTCGAATAGTTTCCTGTCGACTTACCAACGGAAAACTCTATTTGATAGAAACATAGTCCTCCGTGAACACGGATCAAGAGCCTATGGAATCAATTATAGGATGGTACTTGCGCCTCTTGGGATTGGTACAGGGACATCTTCTTTAGAGAAAACGGCAGCATTTTTGGACCGACCAGTTCGTTCTTATTTCCTGTCGACTAACCAACGGAACATTATATTTGATAGAAAAATGGTCCTCCGTGAACACGGATCAAGAGCCTAGAACTAGAAGCATCATTGAGCATGAAAAACGCAGCCAAGAAAGAGCATGATGCTTTGGATATCCCAAACGATCAACTGGCAGAATGCAAGGCCATGTTTGATGGAACATGATGCAAAAGAGAATACCCTTCCCTGCAAGGAGCCGTAAAAGGAATTTCTTTTGTTAGTGGAAATTGCCTTGCTTATGTGGACCTAAACAAGGTTTTTTTGGCTGTGCAAGAAGGTAAATAAATGAGATGGTGTTGAAGAGACAATTTAAGGCCACTCTTTATCGAAAATAAATTTGTCGGCTCAGCTCTTGCAATGGAACCTGAGGGGGTGAGCCGTATATTTGCCCGCTCAGTGAAAACAAGAAAGTTTCAATATAGGGGATGGAGATTGCGTGTGTTGGGCATGTTCAAAAGCGGATTGGAACTGCCTCCAGGAAGCTGAAGTTATAGAAGGCAAAGCAAAATTAACAGATGGCAAATCAATTTGTAGAGCTGGCAGATTTTCAGTCGGTCGGTCGCACGGAAGACCGTCAGATTTCCAGAATTGAGTTTTTGTCTTCTGTCTTCATTATATTCATCATCATCCTTTACTTTCCTCCTTACAACTAATATATTCAACTTTCTTTTCTCAGTAAACACAGGGCCGACCTTTATCGTTATAGAGTTCTAAAGTGATGACACAAAAATATATTTTTAAAACTTTTTAATTTGGATCCAATAACCTAAAAGAGCATCATGAAATACCTCTAAGTGTGCAAAATCAGGCAAGTGTGTTACGAAATGGCAGAGATATGGCCACATGTTTATTGGTTCTCTCCCTATCAAACCTCTGTATTTTGGTCTCTGTTCATAACTTTATGAACAGAGCCAAAATAACAGTGATTCGTTAGCAAACTTCAAATCTTTCATTAGCCATATCTCAACCGATTTTAGACAGATTTGGCCAATTTTGCGTATTTGAAAGTATTTCATGGTGATCTTTTACGCTATGTGGTAAAATTCCAAAATTCTAAAAATAGGTTTTTGATGACGTCACACCTTAGAACTCTATTCAAAGCCTATCCAGGATGACTTTTAAGTACGTCATCCGTGCCTCACAAATATGCAGGGCCCTTTGTTATGCAAATATTTTACCAAATCTTACCAATCGCTGTTCAAATTTTCGCATGCTTGTGCGGCTTGAAAAATCTGTAAACACTATGTTACATTATTGTGCTGCACAACTGCTGGAATGGGAAGAGAGGGGATGAGGTTAAAAGTTGTGAAGGAGAAGATTCCAAATTTCCTTTACCAATACGGAAAAGGTGCACAAGGGGTGTAAACTGTATCCGCCCCTGAAGAGGAAGCATTAATCAGATTCAAAACAAGCTTAGATAAACTGCCAATCTGAAATCAAAAATGGGAACAAATACAACAAGTGCGGGAACCTCCTCAATATTGATGCATTATGTTTTATTTCTGACTTGTTTTGCGTCTCTTCTACTGTATCAGTGGCGGCCTGGCAGGGGGGGCCGGGGGGGGGCCAGGGCCCCTCCAGCTGACATTTTTAAAGGGGCGCCAAAGCTTGTATAGGGCACCGAAAACTCAAAAAAAGTTTGATACGACCGACTTGTCTGGTTATTAGGTCTCTAGGAGGCCAGCAAAGACAAAAAAGACGCCATAAAATTCAAAACTTTATTGGACGCACGCCCCCATACCCCCTAGAACTTTCTTACTTCAAGGGCACGTCTTTGTGCCCCTTCAGTACTGTGTTATCCAGACAAAACATTTGTACTTTTCGCGCGGGCGAAAAAATTAATCAATTTTTTAGAGGATTGTCAGGAAACTTACGTAGTTAAATTCTTTAGTGTGGAGAACGCAGCACTCATAGTGCACACAGACTGTGTTTACGGTGTCGGGGGAAAGTCTGTGTTTAGGGTGTCCGGACTTATGCCCCCCTTCCAGGGAAAATTTTGATTTTCGATGAGTCTCTTTGGCTCTGCTGACTTCAAAGACCTGCTCATGTGGGGGACAGTAGATTTGTCTCATTTCTTCATTTCTCGTGAAAGGACCAATTTGTCTCGACAATACAAAGATGGGATACAAAGTAATGAAATCCATTTAAAGACTGGAATTAATCAAACGTGCTAAAAGGATGCCTCAAAAATAGCAAAATTTTTAAACGAGTTCAACAAAATGACTGCAAGAAATATTTTGAAATGTATTTTAAGCCAATCTATAGGGCGTGGTCGCAAAAATTTTCTGCTCGCTCCGCTCCCAAGAGTTTATACCAAGGGCCTCTGAAAACCTCTCGCCGGCCCTCCCCGGATATTGGTTTTCTAGTCAAATAAAGCTATTAACTCGAGCCCCCCCCCCCACTTTGAATTTCTTGGCACCGCCCCTGGACTGCCAATATTGTCAGGAAAAAGACAATAGTGTTAGTTATGGAGGGCGCCATTTTGATGCTGGCCCCCCAGGCGAAAAGGGCCAGGCCGCCACTGGTTCTGAAACCTGTGTCCTTGGTCATCGGTCTCAGGTCCTTTCTACTGCCTTAAGGTCCTGGGTCCTGTGTCCTGGTTTCCGGTATGCCGGTCTTCGCCAACTTTCAGTGAGAAGGGCGACCTGATATGTTGCAAATTTTTTGTGTGCTCAATTATGCCGTAACACATTTTGGGGTGAGGTAGCATTTGTTAACTGTTATCCTTGATGCGACAAAACTTGAGCAGAAAAGTAAGGGGGCTACAGCCCCAAGCCTCCAGCCCCCTTGGCTCTGGCGTCATTGTAGCCTGTTTTTCTTTTCGTTGACTTAGCAAAATGACGTTTTTCAACAGGGAATATAAAAACAATGCAATAGAGAATTTTAGGCTACATCTTTCGGTTAACTACTATATATGTGTCGAGGCATGTTTCAACTTGATTCGCTACTGTGGCGGCGGCTTTTGGCTTTTTATGAATTCAGTGGTTTTGCTAAGTTTGTTTTAATTCTCTGGTTCAGTCCTTCCTAGATCAACTACAAAGAGGAAGCATTTATCAGTTTCGAAACAGGCTGAGACGAACAGCCATTCTGAAGGTCGAAATGGGAACATCACAGTCAAATGCAACAAGCACGGGACCCTGTTCAATATTGATGCATCATGCTTTATTTCTGACTTGTTTTGCGTCTCTTATGCTGTACACAGTAATGACAAAAAGAGAATTGGCTAATTCGATCGAAAGAATTGAAGACAAGGTGTACAAAAATGACGTGGCCATGTTCAGAAACATCGAGAAGAAACTGAGAGATCTTGAAAAGTGCTGCAAAAACAGCAACCAGGAAATACTGGAAACAGGAAGCAACGAGAGATTTATTCCAAGTATGATTTAAATGTTTACATGAATTTTCTTGCTGCTTTTGACGATCCCTTCTTTTAAATATACTGATTCATCCACTGAAGTCAAGCCAAGGCTAAAATATAAATACAGGATCCGTGCTATTTGGGTAAGCAACGGAGATAGATTGCCGTTGAAGTTGGCAATTTTATATTCTTCACAACTTCGAACAAAGATATACAATTTTGTTCTTATTTTTCTTCTTACTTTGAAAAATGCAATTATTTTTTCCTTGCATTTTTCATCTGAGACTTACTGTCCCTTGTTCTATTCTTACATTATTCCTTCAAGTTTCTTATAAATATATATTTTAATCAAGGTAAAGAAAAGAGTTTAGCTCACGATTTGCCTACATAAAAAGTGGTAATATTTGCATTCAGGACAAAATTAAAAGAAATGAAAATAAGAAAATTTTCCACAAAGTGATATGAGCATGCAAGCATGTGATGTGGAAGTACTACTGCAAAGGAACTTTTTTCAAATGAAATTTCTATCTTAAGTAGTTTTGTTTATCAAATGCAATTTTCATGTCTCGTTTATGACGTAGGGGTGATTAAAAGACGGAAAAAAAGAGCAGCGAGTCATGAAGATGAAATAGCACTTTTGAAGGTGATAACGAGGCTACCCAATGGAAGCTTGATACTTCCGACTTGCATCCGAGGACCGACGGGGCTTCCAGGTCCCTCAGGTCCACCTGGGCAGAAAGGAAGACGTGGAAAGGCGGGGCCGATGGGGTACAAGGGCAACAAGGGGGATTCTGGGATGACTGGACCAAAGGGTTCTAAGGGTGACAAAGGTGACCGAGGGTCACATGGACGTGACGGAGGACGCGGGCCACAAGGAATCAAGGGACAAAAGGGGGAGTCAATAGCTGTACCCAAAATAATAGTTCCCCCGAATAATCAGACGGCAATAGCAGGCAATGTAGCAACATTTACTTGTGAGGCAACGGGCAATCCGGTACCAGAAATTAGTCTAATGCCGACTAAGAAGAAGTTAATTGATGGAAGGTACAAATGGGTAGGAGATGGAATGTTGATGATTGAAAATCTAAAGAGCACAGATGAGGGCGAAATAAAATGTGCGGCAAAAAGTGTCATTGGCGAAGACAGCATGATTGCTACATTAAAAGTGAATGGTGAGTATCTCGTCTTGGTTTCAACACGGGGGTAACATCAATAGGCCTAGGATGAGGGCAGGGGCGGATTTAAGCAACAATAATTGGGGGGGGGGGGTCTTTTGACACTAATTGGATTTTGATGCCACACCCTTCAAGTTAATGATGGAAACGCCAATTTCTAAAATTCGGTATTTTACTCTAAGGTAAAGAAGATAAGAAGCAGTGCCGTAGCCAGGGTTGAAAGATTTGAGGTGCAAAGAGAAAAAATTTTTTGCTGACCACCGGTATCTAGCTATACAATAACCGCGGTATCTAGCTTTTTCTGTTTGACCCCATTCTATAACTGTCTATTGCCTTCACAATTAATCTAACGTTCATATTCTGAATTGTGTAGGGTGTGGAAGCTCTACGTGTAAAAACTGCGAGAAAATATTTGCGACCACGCCCTTTTCAAAAGCTTAAAATACAATTCAGAATATTTCTTACAGTCGTTTGCTTGCAGTTTTTAGAAAGGTTTTAACATTGTGTGTTAAGTACTTATGAGTAGAAATCTTTTGAAATTATGAAATTTATTTTAGAAATTGTAGAGTTGCTTCATATCGTCTGAAATGTATCATTTTGGTGGCTTTTAATAATTCGTAACATTTTGGTGGTATTTAATAATTTTATTAATGACTAATGCAATGGATTAGCAATTTTTAGTCGATAAACACGCAGCCTAAAAGAATGCCATAAAGTCAGCCACACGAATACAGGCTTTGCTCAAAGAAACTGTCGAGTATCAAAGACTCATGCGTAACTACCTCCCACATGCGTTACCATTGACAGCCTAAGTGCTGGCCCAGGGGCCCTCATACAATCTACCTGTGCTAATAAGCCCTGAAATGGGGCGAGACCGGTCTGCAGCCGGATTGTTTGAGATGTCAGTGGTTTTCTTCACTTCACACTTCTCCCCATGAACCACCTTAATTTGGTCCTGACTCTAAACCTATGAACCAAACTAAAATGACAGCAAATTGCCAGATTTCTATCAATAGCCTTTCTTAATGTCAGAACTTTGCCATTATACGGATAATTTTAACGATTAATTTCAAAATTCGAGAAAAATAATGCGAGGTATCCCTCAACATAGCAATTGTTTCATTCTTTTTAGTTCCATCAGAGGCTCGGATTATAGTGTCGAAGATAGAGACAGAAGAGGGAGCAAAAATTCTTATCAAATGTAATGTTGTTGGAAATCCATGGCCAACAATTACATGGAGTCGAAGGTCAGGAAAAAAGATTTCTAAAAATGCAAAATTCAGGGACAGAATGCAAACGATTGAGATAGAGAAAATTAAAATGGAGGACAGTGGAGAATATGTGTGCAGTGCAGTAAACAGTTTGGCAAATTCGACTGCCACAGCAAACATACAGGTTGCAAGGAAACTTTCCTTCCTTGTAAAGCCACCAAATTTCAGATTTGTTTTATTTGGGCAAAAGCAACTGCTTTCCTGTTTTCATGAAGGTGGAGTACAACCGATCACGGTAACTTGGAGAAAGAATGGAAATCTTGTGACGAACAAAACACTACTATCCAAAAATAACCAGGTCATGGCGATTAAATGGGACGTAAAAACAGAGGAAAACTATCAATGTGAAATACGGTCGAGTATTTCGACTATTCAACATTCTACTAAAGTACAATATTTTCTGCGGACGTGCAAAGAGGTGAAGCTAAGCGGTCAAACTGCATCGGGACATTACAGCATTTACATAAAGCAAAATATCAATCAACCTGTGCGCGTTTTCTGTGATATGAGCACTCACGGCGGCGTTGGGGTGACCGTTGTGTCACACGACAGTGAAGCAAGGACACGCGTGCAAGGGATTGAAGCGAATCTTGGGTATATTCGGAAGATCAAATATCAAATTGCAAGTGATCTGATAAAAGAAATAGTTAGATTGTCGGACAAATGTGAGCAATACATCAAATACGAATGCAAAGGCAGTCTCCTTTACTTGGAAGAAGCCACCCCTTTTGGCTCATGGTATTCAGTTACAGGAGCAAGGAAAAGTTACTGGGGAGGTATGGACCATACAGCAAAGGGTTGTGCTTGCAAACTGACAAATTCATGTGCTGGGGGGAAACCATGCAACTGTGATATGAATGACAATGTTTGGAGAGAGGACTCTGGATATTTGCGATATAAAGAAGATCTACCAATATCGGAAGTGAGGTTTGGTGATACCGGGGATGGTGGGGAAGAAGGATACTATATGGTGGGAAAACTGAGATGTTACTAAGGCAACTTCTTGATTAAATCCCTACAGAACAATTAATCGTAATTTTGTGCAGTATTCAAATCGAGTGTGCCTAGGTAACAAAGCTAGGTTATATTTTCGTTCATGAAATAAATTCTGGCATTAAAGGATTTCAATCAAGAGATATAATATGAAATACATAATGTTATAAGGAATAAGAAAATCATCCTGATTTATGCTCGAAGCTTTAAAAAAGGTTATGATAGGCTGATTTTGTTTATCAAAGTGGGTTGGGATTATCAGGGGGAGGGGAGTAGAGGGGGGGGAGTTAAGGGAGGGTAAAAAGATGTAGGGCTGGAAAAAGCTAGGAGACTGAAACAGGTGTGTGTATAGCAAAATCAGAAAGCCAGGTTGTTCTAATGAAGAAATTGAGCGGTTTTCAAGAGAATAATGATTTTGATGTATTTTCATTTCAGCTAAAACTTAATTGATAACTAATGCTTTCATTGATACATAAACTAAGGCAAATAGTTAGCATGAATACCGTGGTTTAGATTTGGTTACATTCTTTATTTTGTATATATCAAGTTAGAAAAGAGGAAGTTCCACTGTGGAAAGAGTGAAGGATTTTTACTCTGCACCAAAGAATTTTTGTAAATCATCTGTTAAAATATAGAATTTTACATTCACAAAGAAGTGAAGTTTCTGAAATTCAAATACCTTCATGTGTTTCCAAAGGAAATATCATTGCACCAAATTAAACACAATGAGAACTATTCCTAACAAACGACAAGTTGATTTCTATGAGAAATGCCAGTTTTGCTATATCAATCTTATAAAACAAACAAGAAAATGAAGAAAGGATGATACTTCCTAGTAGCACGAACTGTTGGAATCCTCTACGCTTTTCAATAATAGAAATTTGTGACACAATAGCGAACGGGCATCTGATGAAAATTAGATCTTCCTCAACTCTTAACTTTTGAACAATATCCTGTAACAGGCTCTACTGCTGTAAAGCCCACGAAAACAAATAAATTTGCCGACGATGCACATTTTTGATAACGTTGCACATTTTATGGAGCAATCGCCCCCCCCCCCTCCACACTCCGCCAACTTCGGGCACTGGATAAATACAATTTTGCTTTGGCTATTCATTTATTTTTTTTGCTGTGTAGTTTTATATATTCTTTCATTAGATCGAGCAAAATACATCATTATTATATCCTATATGCAGCATGTATTCTAAGAAAAGATTTATTGAGCTATTAGAATCAATGATTTTGGGGGTTGAGTTATTAATTGTAATTATTGATCAAAGTAACTGATAAAATGGTGATCGGTATTGGGAAAAAAGGACCTAGAAATTTTTCTGCAACAAAGCTTCAGCGACACGTCCATGCGCCATCCTCAATCATCCTGAATGCGTTTTTGAAAAGGCCTCGCTCCCCAAGGGCGCAATCTTTTCACCAAGAAGCAATTTGAATTTTACTCATAGCTGTCTGTCATGTTGATTTTCAATCATATATCGTCGCAACGAAATCTACTTAGTTCTATAAGAAACCGATGTTTCAGTATTATAGCAAAGTCAGCAGGAATAATTGTTGAATCATTTTTTATTGAAGACGTATCGAATTTCCCTACATGAATGCTGAAAGAACCGTAGGACAGCTAAAGACGAACGAAGAAAGGTGTAAAAGAAATTAACACAAGATTCTTGGTCCCCCAAAACCCCTCTTTGGTGCCAATATGCAGAAAAAATATCTTCAATGACATCATCAGTTACGTTTTAAACTAATTTTTAACAAAATTATAAACAAAAATAAACAAAATAATTTCATTTTCCCGTTAAAAGTAGGTTATACTGAACTTAAGAAGAAAAAATCTTTGACAGTCAAATATCTACAGAGAAGAATATCATCATGACAAGCGACAAAAATTGAGAGCTTAATAGAAATCTTAGATGCAGGGTAGTGGATATATGCAACTTACTAAAAACACGAAATTCTGACCAACTAAACCTTACAGAAAATTAAGTAACACCTGATACCTTGGCCGTTTTATGGGGGTGAACATTTCTTTGCTGTAAGGCTTTAAATTTTTATCTAAAACTATTCAACATAAGCATTAACACTACAATCTTTGATTTATCGGGACTGGATTGCCACAATCGATGCCGGGCTATTCCCTACATTTCTGTTGGCAAACAGTCACCATTGGCCTCGAGTCGTCATTTGCCTTGGCCTCGAGTCGTCATTTGCCTTGGCCTAGAGTTGCCATGGTCTAGAGACCACATAGGCGTACAGTTACCGTTGACCGCGAGTCAGTATGGGCCTAGAGTCACCACTTGGCGAGAGACGGCCTTGAGTTAATTTTGGCCTAGAGTCGTCATTAGCCGAGACCCTATTGGCCTTGATTCAACATAGACCTTGAGTCGCCATTGGCGTACAGACCCAATTGGCCTACAGACCCCATTGGCCTAGAGGACCCATTGGCCTAGAGTCGTCATTGGCCCTCAGTTGCCCTACACAATAACACCGGAAACATTTTAGATGATACTGTACAATTTTCCGACAAAGTAACTAACAGGTAGTGAAAAATTTAAAATCGTTCTATACGAAATCATAGCTGCAATTAAAGAAAATTCAAGGAAGAAAACATTCAAATCACCTGAAACGCTTCAAATAGCCAATAACGTTGCCACTAGGCTTTCCATTGCCTCTTCTCTTCTGTGAGAGAGCTTTAGCCAAAAGAACGATTTGCAATTGGATGGGCAACAACGTGTTGCTTTTAGATAGGCATTAAAAATGGCAGAGGGTCTATAGGGATTTCAAAGGGGAAATTCAATTATCAAGGGACGGGTGGGTTCGTGCATTATTGTTAAAAATCGTTGCGAACCTCAACGAAAATACAAACAAAATCCTGCGATTTCTTTTGTGTTCTGATTATTCGTTTTGAAACCTCCCCTTCCAAAGACAAAGTAACCAAACTCTGACTTAAAGCTAGCAGTTTGCTGAAATTCCAAGGCTGCTCTTCACATATTCCTCCTACTCTGAAATATCGTCGTCTCAAAGATCTGGAAAATGATGAGGGTCTTCCTGAAACCAAAATGAAAGCAATCATGAAAACGAATCTGTATAAGCTTTATGCAAATGTGTCTGAAACAGTAAACAAAATGTTTTTCTTATTGATATAAATCACTTCCAAGATCCATCCAAGTTGTAGCCTGTTAAAGAAATTAGGTTGATGCTAACCCACAGATGGGAGAGGGCGTCTTCCTTCACAATAGTTAACCTACTGATAAGGAATTTCCTTTTTAAGAAGAAATCTGCATCTAGAATATCGTTGTATTTTTATGCATAGCTGTAATTACTTTCTTTTAAACTGTGTTGCATTTACAAAATGTGATTTTTGTTTTGGTGTTGTTTTCTGTAGTTGTAATTGCAATTAAATTTTGTAATTTTTAATGGTAAATGGTGTAATTGTGAATCTATTTGAATGCAATACAATACAACAACAGTATGATCACGCCTACAAAGAAAAACTACAAGAATTGTAACTTTGGTCAGGTCAAATAATCCACTCTGCTAAGTTTTCTACGACAGGGACGTAACAAGGGATACCTTACATGAAGGCGGAGGGGGGGGGGGTGGCAATTAAAAGGTCTAGGGTGAAGTTCTCAAGAAAATACCTTCTTACCAAATTCTTGTGCTCTTAACTTACTGTATTTTACATTGAAATGACAACGCTACCCAATATCATTTTACAGAATAAATCTGGTATCTTAAATATATACAGTAAACTTTATTATCTCCTTGCTAATGGGTGCGTTTATAATTGAAATAACGTCATGAGTCAGTCACGCATGCTGATTAGAAAACTTAAAGTCTCTCGCATAATGAAGCCAAGGGGAATTTAGACGATGATCGAAATTCGTCGGAAAGTAATGGTTTATTGTATGTTAGTTGGAAAGACGTTGTTTCTTTTTTGCCTTTATTATTGTGCTGATGAATTTTTCATAGGCAAAAAGAAGACCTTGCAGCAAGCAAAGACTATCTAAGATACATCACAATTTATCAACGACTGCCCCGCCAGTCAGTATGATTTCCCTGTGAACAGGAAAGCGTATCAATGAGGGTAAGAAATGAGACCATTAGGTAAATTAGTGTTCTTTTATAGGGATTTAAATATTTGATGGTACCTGTCACAGTTGTCCCAGAAGGCCCGAAAATTTTGTCACACATGCGATACCTCGGATAAGATGGCATCAAATGAAAGATCTTATCTAGATGATGTGAATGGTAGTATTAGTTTGTGGGTAACATCCTATAGTGACGTCAGATTCGTCGTCCTACTGCAAAAACTAGTACCCTGTAGTGTGTGTCAAACATAGCGTCCAAAGTAGCTTTTATGTCCATTTTTGCTTTATATCCTTCAATCAAAAGCAGTTGCACAGTTCTACAGTGAATCAACACATAAATATCTACTTTGAATAACTGGTTTTTATTAAATTTATAGTCTCTGTACGTGATTTTTAGAGCTCTTCCATGTTATTCGATTTTCTTTAGAGAAACAGCAAAACATGTTTTCATTATTAGTCTCAATATTTTCTCTCCATTCATTTAGATTGGTAAAAGAGATCATGGGTGCGTTCAGTTTAGATTTGTTTTTTAGAAAGAGACTCAACACACGATTTGATTACTTCAATTTGCTTTGGTGGCTCACTGCCAAATCATACAAGAGCATTGCTATGGACAAATCAACAGGACATTTTTATTCGTCCATTTTCATGAGATTGTCCAAAAATCATACAATGCAAATAAAAGAGCAACCAATAGTGCAATTACACTTATATTCTTCAAAATCACTATGCAGTCCAAAATTGCTGCACAACATCCATATCACGTGATCTTAGCCACTGACACTGCTATTACTGAAAGGGCTGTTAGGGATTGAACTTAGGCCCTTTTCACTTTACAACGGGTCAATTAAGTATTAGATTCACCGACCGAGTCCAAAATTATTATAACAGCTGTTCCAATGCAGTACAAACTGGATTCATATTTAGCATTTAAAATCAGGGACTAAAAAGGGAGGTTCCGGAGCAACAGCGAATCGGACTCATGCGTTCACACGAGCCCAAAAGTGATCCAATACCCACCCACCCCTTTACTTCATTCAAAGAGAAGTGACCTCGATCCGCCAAAACGGTACCGTGCTTATTGAATTCCAGTATGTCCGTATCAACAAAGAGGCCTATCTGGTCTGAAAAGCGATCGATACAAAATGATTCCGGTGTAGAGAGGACTGTGCCTAACGAGAAGGATTTAAAACTGTGCATACCGAAACCTGGTTTATTATTTCAAGTGACAACGACTTTCTTGTACACAACAAATTATTCAAGTTGTCAATTCTGTCCATTTTGCAATCTCTTAGATGCTTCATGTAAACGTTAATTATTTGTAGAACTATTTTTCAGCTAACACTAAATAAGGTTGATGATGATGATAATGATGATGATGACGATGAAGTAATTGGCTTTTGTTTATTCTTTTAAAATACTCATATACTTTAAAATATTTTCAAAAGAAATTTGAATCGCTTTTTCTACAAAATGTTGACCTAATTCTTGGAACTAAAATATTGAACAAAGAAAAGATTTTGGTATCGATCAAAAATTTGGTTACAGTTGCCTGGTGGTCGCATTAAGCGTGAAACTCGGATTAGCAACTTAGAAATGTCCTGTTCTATACACCAAAGCGTCTGTCAGGAATCCTGCATTTAATTTAAAAGTTTTACGGTCTGCTAATAATTTTATTTCTGGTAAAACACAAATGCTTTTAATCAAAGACGGCACACAATTAAAGTAACGCTAAAGTAAACGTTCTGAACTGCATATAAAGGACTTTAGGACCTTTTAGATTGACCTCGTTTGGGGGAGAGAAGCGTGGTTTGAGAAGACAGTTGTCTTTGTGTTGTTTTGGCTTCAAGGTTAGAGTAAGAGAGAGCTTGCTGAATTTGATGATAACATTACTATAGAGTTCATATATACGTCACAAGCCCTCATAGTTGGTAAATTGAAGAAATCGCCTCACATGTAAATGGAATACATTTGTCGATGATTTTGCTTCTGTTAAGCTTCTTACAGCCATTGACTTAGTACGGAACGGTCCGCCAGTAAAAAGCCCATTCCATCCCATTAACGCTCGCCAATACCTAGAATAGCATTTGGTAACATTTGGCATATGGTAAAGATATGACTTTAGTAAGCCGAGAACTTACTTTAAAATCTTCTGGGATATAAAATAAGGATTCTGGTAATTCGCTGCACCATTCAAAGCCCTGGAAGGTGATTTTTGCAGATATTGTTGGCAGTACTGGTATTTCTAAAATGAAGAGAAGGGTAGATTTAGAATAACCAGGTATATGTAGCATTAAAAAATGTATAGAAATGAGAAGTATAAGAAATGTAAAAAATTTACTATCAATGGCTTTGAAAAAGTAAAGATTTCAGAACATACTTAAGCCTTTCGTCTAACACTCTTCGTCAGTAAATTGATCGAAAATTCTAAGCTATGAAATATATTTATACTGATCGATATTGTGGATCGATATTGGCCAGTCAGAAATGCGACCAGATGGCCGCTAGGCCCAATCAGTGCCGCTTGCCTATTGAAAATAGTGCAAACTGACTATCCTTCATGGGAATAAGTACCTTTTTGGTTTGGCAAGTACCCTTTTGCACACCCTGGTGCAGTGGACACCTGGGGGTGACAGGGCAGTCGCCCCCCAATATTTTAGAGAACAATCGTTTTTTGTTCTAAAACAATGGGGAAATGTGATGTCATCTTGTCAAAACAATAGGCCTCCCCCCCAAATATTTGACCAAGTTTCCGCCCCTGCCCTGGTGGCAAATCGCAACTTGTGGTATACGATAATTTTAAAAGCAAGATATTATTTTGAGTAATATGCTCAACAAAGAGTTCAAGGTGGTACGACAGGGCAATATTTCACCTAGGAATATTATCTGATGAGGATGTCTGACAAGTGGTAAAAGAAGGTGAGAAATACCCAATTGACAAGATGAATACGGACAATGAGTATAACATCTAAAAACATAAAAACAAAATAGGAATTGCCAAGGGTTGACTAAGTTGTAAGATTACAAAGGCAACAGTGAAGACAACAGTGAAAGCATTTTGATGCCCAGACGTTGGTCTTGATACAGTTTTAAGGAAGAAAATGGTCGCAAAAAGCAAGCAAAAATTACGAATTGCATTACTAATATATAATGTGAACAATTTTTTGCGGTACAGAATTTGAAAATGGCTTTGAAAAAAGCAAACATTTTACGACATACTTAAAGCTTTTTCGTCTGACACTCATCAGAGCATAAAACGTCAGAATAAGGCTCCGAAAGAACACGATGGAAAATATATACCCAGTTTGGATCGAAATAGGCCAATCAGAAAAACGCAAGCACAAGACCGGTATAGTTGACCAATCAGTGCCGCGAGCCTAAAGAAAAATATATAATGCAAAACCATACCAATTTTAACAGGGAAGCCAGTTGGTAGTTTCATTGATATAAATTCTTTCAACTTCTCAAAATGCTTCGAAGGGGCGATAACTTCTAGCACGCTTAGCAATCTGCAGAGGGTCCAAAATAAAAAAATTTTAAACTCAAGAGCGAACAGAGAACATTGAAAAAAAGAGAAAATATTTTCATGGAAATTTTTGGACGTCTTACTGCTGTAAATGGAGTTCTTGCCTAAATTTTGAAATCAACAAAATTAAAAAGTTGTGCTTACAGGCACCTAAACCCCAAAGCCTCTAGCCTTAAGCTCTAACCGCTATCACAAGTATATATCATGGAGAATGTAGTACATGGAATTCGCCGTTGACAACCCCTGTTATAAACAATCATGCTGTCACAACATAACGTCTTTATCCTTTGTTATTAATCACTAATGAGCAGGACAATGCTTTGTTTTGTTAATTACAGATACATCTCTTTTATAAAAGTTTGTTTAGAAATATAATTATGTGACAGCTTAACCTTGTAATTATGGAGTGTGCATCAATAAGTTCTTGAAGTTGAACTAGCATTTATATGTCTTCGAACCTACATATGGGGTAAAACATTACCCTATGATAGCCAAGGGTTACCAGAACAGCATAGCTGATGTCCTCCCTTGACATGTTCTAACACCTCTGACAAGGATTTTAGGCAACACAAGTCCAAAAAGATAAGGATTCCCTTTTACCTGAAATCTCTTGACTGTCCTTAACACTTTGCAGAAAACGTTTTGCACATTAATCACTCCACCTCTCGATTCAAATACTAAACAAGTTCCCTTTCTCGACCTTTTGAAGTTTGGTTAGTTTCGAACATTGCATTAAATACTGTTTCTTTGACCGACATTTAAAAAGAGCCAGCAGTAAACAAAAGACTTACAAATTGACATCCAAAGGAAAGTCACCACTCTGTAAAAAGAGAATGGTTCAAAGTTTAATAATTGCAGTTACAAACAATTATTCTGTATCGAAAGACCCATAACATCAACAGACATTCAAATTCACATAACAGACAGAGATAACTGACATTACAAAGCGACAAAAAAACAAAAATGGAAATCATTAATAAGTTAACTCGTCAAAGGTTCAATGGCATGTTTCACCCACATTTGTTTTAATCATTAACCATACATCATGTCAATCAAATTCCGATCCACAAAAATCCGATCAAATCCGATCAAATCTGATCCAATCTGGTCAATCAAATACGATCAAATCCGATCCGATTTGAACAAATCCGATGCAGTCCGATTTGATCCAATAAGCTACAGTACCTGCCTTGATCCGATTTTGTCCAAAAAGTCTTGGTACATTGCGCTAAACTATTTTATACTGCATCCCCTCTCCTCAATCCTACAAATTTTGTTTTATGCGGATTTAAGTTGTTTCGTGTGGCCTAATACATTCATTTCATATAGCCATGATATCTCACTCTACAACAAACATTGTTTCGGGGGAGACCGGGTGCGGATTCGATCGTTATCACTGGAAACGGTAACGTATTCGGGTGTTCCAAGGACCTCTGGCAGGTATTGAATCTGTTTTTTAAAAGAGATTCTTCTTTTTCAGGAAAATATCAATTTTTGGACTATCCTTTACAATCGAGGCTAATATCAATTTCAATTTATAAAGTACCGAACGATAATTGTTCTTCATAAGCCTTCATATTTCAAAAAAGTAAAAATGACCACAAGAACCGATTTCTCAAAAAACAAGATCCGATACAAACCATCCAAACTGCAACTTTGACACTTTTTCTGTCTTCTTTTATGATCATCTTTCTTCCCAAATGTGGTGGCCTAATCGAGAAACATATCATTACCAAATCCATAACCTTAAAATTTATATTCTGTTTAACTTCCATTTATATTTAATGAATTGTAGTATGTTTATGATGAGTCTGTCAATTCTTTCACAATCTGCTTTATAAATAGTATATATTTAAGCATTCAATAATACTAGAATAAGTATATGTAAAATAAAATGATAGTCATGGCAAAATCGTGACCGTTTGCTAAAGATGCGATTTCAATTATCTTTGGTTTCATATGTTGCAACTTTATCATTGTCATAGTGAAGGATGTGGGGGTGAAGCAACATCCCTAATATTTTTGCGTACCGCTAAATTTTGTTTTAATTCGGTAAAAAGTATTTTTGGTAGTAAATAGTAATAAAATTATGCAGAAAATTTCTTTATTAATCTCCTTTTCTTCTTTATTTTAGAGTTAAAAAGTGAATCTTAAAAAATAGGCATTTCCACCATTTTCCAGGCACTCGAAGGGTGTGACACCAAAATCCATTTATTATCTAACATCCCCCAATCTTTGCCGCTAAAATCCACCGTTGCAAGTTGATGAGCACCTGGTCAATGGAAGAATTCTGGTTGCACCACGGTCTGAGACAACTAGAATTGAGCAAGACTTTTTTCTACCTGTTGTCATCTTGACTAGAATATTCTTCCCAGGAGCACGTGCATTCGGATGGCGGTTTTAAAGATTTTCGACGCTCTACCTAAAAAGTTGACTAGAATATAGCAGCTTGTTCTCTTGAAATCTCTTTACCTTGACTGCCACTAAAGAAATGTGACAAGAAGCTGTCTAAAATATAGAATCATGGTAATATTGGTTAACTAAAGCAACGCAGAATATATTAATACAAAGACAAATTAAGACAAATACAAAGGCAGAATACAAATTAAGTAAAATATATTTACTGGCTAGCTTTATAGTAAACTATTATTGTTAAAAGCAAGTCATTTCTTTTAATCTGCAACCGAAAGGGAAGTTTGTATACCTTTGAAAACAAAGGAAAACCAAACTAAACTGAAGTTAAGGAGCGTCGAATCGGTTCAAATGACGAGAGAGGCTGTCTTCAGACCCACAAATGCTAGTCTGAGGTTTGGAGGCTACAGTTTCGGGAGATAAACATCGTGGAAATCAACAGAAAATCTTGCGAAAAGATCGTCGATACTCTGGCAAAGGCGTTAACTTAGTATCCCTTATTTTTTGACATTTATAACTATCTATTTACAACAATAATTTATTGGATATTCTCGTCAGTGAAAAAGGCTCAGTAGAACAAGGCAGTAACAAATAGGCTGATTTCGCTGCACAAGGCTCACCTAGAATGGTTGCCTTTAGTAAAGTGGGAGAGTTTTGAGAGGGTCCAACAAGGAATTTCCTAGTCTTGTTAGCTCGTCTTGAGACCCATCGATTCCCGGCACAGGTATGTCACCCCACCCCACCCCACCCCATATATGCCATAACTGAAAAAGAAACGAAAACAATACAAACTTGGTCCAGTTTTTCAATTGCATCATGGTCCCCCTTTTGAAAAGCCTCATGTACTGCCTGAAAGAAGAGCAGTTGGATAAATGGGCAGGAAATTCATCCTCAATAGCTATGTTGTCATTAACGAAGTATAGATATCGTCTATGGGAGGTTAAACTTTTCAATCTTTTATAATTTGCCTGTAAAAGAAATTTTTCGACCAACATAAAAAAGCTTCAAATTTAAACGGCACTTTCGGTTAACTCACTTTATTTTTTTGGACATCTTCCTCTGTCAAATGCTCTCTCCTGCAAAAGATGAACAAAGTTGCCTAAAGGCGCGTTTCTAGTGTAGACGGTGGATAGGATTTGCAACTGATAAATTAAAATCAACAAGTATTATACCCTTTCATAACTCGTGTAGCTAATTCTTATAATCTAGTTATAACATGCTATAGCAATAGCATGCGGTTCTGCGAAGTTATACCGATCCCAAGGCACCGTCAAGTAGGCCTAAAAGACTTTTTCTACTCAGCACTAAAGGTCCGAAATGAAATTCATATTAGTACGAAAGAGCCTGCTACACAGTGTTAGTTTAAAAATGTAAATAAACAAAAAATATCAAATAAACATTTGCTGAGTTTTGCGGTGTTTTTAGTCAGGAAATTAAATGAAAAGAAAAATGTTCAATCTTCAAAGTGTTTGCTGCTTAGAAGTGACCGTCGCTTGGAGGGTCCATTGTTCAGAAATGTCCATTGTTCAGAAATGTCCATTGTTTCGGTGCGTTTACTTTTGCGTAGTGTCTTTTCGATGGGTTAGAAAGTTCTTTTAAGACCCCATCTACACGGTATCGGATCACTTTTTCTCGGAAACAAGAGTGTTGCGGACCAGCCTTTCATTTACACAAGTTCCAAGCGATCCGATACAATTTCTGTTCTGCTATCCGTACCATTCTTATCCTGCTACAAAAGCGCACTCGTTTCGCTTGCGATGGTTTTCTTGTACCCGACCCCTTGTGCCCCACACTGTGAAAACGCGAGTGATCCACATCAAGTTGAAACGGATCGCATCCTTTCCTTTCAGGAGACCATGCACAGAGTCCAGAAAAGTTGTTAACCTTCCTCCAGACAAAAACATCCCAGAAGGCAAACCTTCCTCACAAAAAATTGAAAGTGGGCGTGGCTTGGGTGTGTCATATGAGCTTCTATTGTTTTTCCTGGACCTTCCTCCGGTCAGTGACCGGGCAACCGTAATGTTTTCCTGACTCTGAATACAATAACATGGAACAAGAAACTGAAACAATAGCAAAGGAATTAGAAGCGAGGTTGCTCTCAGTGATCCACCACCTTGTAAACAAAAACCTGATAGGTAGCACTTTGATCCGATACAAGTATGACCTGATAACATTTAAACGGGGTCTAAGTGTCATTTGTTTTGTTTGATGTTGAAAAGTGTCCGTTGTATGGAAGTGTTCCCTATTTGAAAATGTCCATTGTCCGTTGAAGGTGTTCACTATTGTTTTGAAGTATCTATTTTTTATGGGTGCCCTATGTAAAGAGCTTGGAGAAGGTATCATTCACTGATACCCCCATTCAATAAATACCTAAAAATTCATTTCTTCACAAATCATAGAAGCTGAATTGTGAGTTTTCCGCAACTGATAATTTTGTATGGAGATGAGTAACGGGTCATTCTTATAAAATAGAACTGCTCTCATATAGAGCGTAGAACATATTGCACTGATTAACAAGTGGACAAAATACCTTTTGCGTGATATTAGAGTCATGCCATTCACAGTATAAACGTCGCATTTGTATAATCCGATGTATTCCTGAAGGAGAAATAAAGACTTACATGGTACCATGGTACGACTCATTCCATTATACCAGTAACGGTACAATAGCATTGAATTATAAATAATTGCGGTAATAGGCAATTCGATTTAGAGCTAGGAGCTGGGTAGACGCTGCGAATGCTAGTTTGGTCTTCAATGCGAACTGATCATGTAAATTCTGTAATGTGAACTGGTCTATGAAGGTAACTTCTCAAAGGACAGGGTTAAATTTTTTCCACAGTTATCAATTATTTCACATGAAGGTATCGGAATTTGAAGCCTCGTAGTTTTGATTCACCCTAGATTCTCACTGCCTTGCCTTCTCCCCTTTGCATCAACAATTTCTTCACATTTTTATATCCCTTCTTTCGTATCAAATTGACGAAACCCCAATGCGAACCCATTAGTTGAAAAATCCTTTGCTTTCAAAAACTGAACATTGCAAAAAAATCCAAGACTTTGAGTTCACACTGCTTGTATGATTTCACACCCCAAATATAATTTAACGATTAAATCAATTTAAACTAAGCGAAGTCACCTCTCCTCGATCTACGCGATCCCTCGGTCATGTGAACACTCTTATCAATATACAGAACAGACAAACCTAACAACATCCCCAGATACGGTAACAAATACTAGAAATCCAAAAACTTCGCCCCCCCTTTGCACATTAATCTTGGTTATCTTACTAATATAAATGCATCTTGTTACATCCAATTTGATTTATTCTTAAAATCAAGGCTAATCTAAGTTAATCGACGATCAAAATCGATATTGTTTTGTGGAGACCAAATAACAGCAATCCAAATGTCTAGTTGAATTTTCAAAATATTTCCACCAGGTAAATGTTAGTAATCTTTCCATTTCATCAACAGCAGTTAAAACTGAAACACAAATTGAGAAGAACGGTACACACATGTTTTAAGGTGTGATGTTTCTGGTACCCTGGCCACCGCGCGGGGAGCTTTAGAAACAGACTGAACCGAGGCAAGCATTGAAACAGATTTTCTTTTCCAGATCGTTTAGCAAAGATATGAGAAGATAGTGGATAATTGGTCAAAAAGAAAAGAACTGCATCTTCAAATGAATGAGAAAAAACCATCAGTATTTGTGATAAACAAGAAATCTTCCGGAAGTGAAGTTTCAAGAGAGATCACCGGGGAAGAGAAGAAAGATACTATATGTTTTTTATTATGACCAATTTTGCATGCCTTGGCTGAGCATTTAGCAAAGTAGCATACAAATTTTATGTTCATCCACCAGCTCACTATAGGTAATCACCTATATAAAATTTCTTCAGAATCAGGAAAAGATTCCAGCCGACTAAAAAGCGTTAAGTAAAAATACAAAAAGTGAACCAACATACGGTTTTATCTTCCTTGAATATCCATCCAGACAAACTTCTTTGAAATGAAATTGTTTTAGTTGACATTTGGGCTGCAACTATGTCACTAAAAACAGAAAGAAATGTTAAAGCGCGGCAAAATTGTCTTAATATATAAGTGATTGGCTTTGCTGATAGAGATCATCCGAATATCACAGGTCCACTGAATTTATGCTTTGTGATTCCAATAATCAACTAACACTCCCCGCTCCTCCTAATCCTTCCCTTTTAAATCTGTCCCTGCCAATTTTGGTGGAAATTGCCAATTTTCGATGGAATGTTTCCTCTAAGGCCAAGCATTAACTAGTCATTTCTATGCTGAAAACAAATGGAAATCTCTGGGTTTTGTTAAAGCAGAAGAAATACCTGCTCATCAAGTAATCAATTTCTTCTTCTAAGTCATCTTCTGTATCCTGTAGGCAATAATTGATAACACATATAGTACATTAACATAATAACAACATATGTTTACAACATCAGCCATCATTGTTAATTGGTTCTTTGTGTAGAATTTATTCGTATCGGATTATTTTTTTTATCTGCGATGAAACTTCGGTTAAAATCACTTTGCTGTCGTGTGGTCTTTAACATGGAAAACCGATAGCATTCTGCCCCTTTTGGTTAAAAGCAAAAGGATTGTTTTAAACACATACCTGATACACGATTACGTTAAGGTTATCATTCGAACATAGATAAAATTTACAATTTTTTCATTTATAACTTCGTTTCATATTTTCAGACACAAAAATTCAGAATCTTTCCCAAATATCGATTTGGAAAAATCACAGACCCTAAATACTGACATGGACCCCCGCAGATGAAGGTAGAGAGTAGCCCTCTTGGAAGAGAGTAGTCTTAAACATAGCATACAATAGTATGATAGCTTTACACGACTACGTTGCTATTTTCAGTCTTGAACAAGCACTTCTCGTAAAATAATCGATAGAATTTCCGATAAAGAAAACCATTCAGCCCCGGTCTTTGCTTATTATCAATAGCAATCAAGCCTTGGCTAACTGAATAAAGACATTGTAAATACATTTCAGAGGTAAAAAATCAAAAAAGATACGACTAATCGTACGAAATGGCTCAAATTTGAGCATTTGAAATGTTCCTACTGCAAAAAAATATGAAACTTTTAGAGCATTTTCTAGATTTGCAAAGAATTCTTCTTGAGCCTTACAGGTTTGCCTTGTCAAATGTAAACTTTCAAATGCTTAATTGAAAAAAATAAATACGGTTTCCACGATGAAGAAACGGGAACAATTCCACGGGCTTTAGACCACTGTTGCCTTAAAAATGGCTTGAAATTTAGCTTTCCTGCAGCACACGAATTCATGTTACAGGTCATTTGAAAAAAAAATTCCGCAAAAACTACCATTTTGCTCTCTTTCAGCATGAAAATTTAAATGCATCAACTGAGGCATTGTTTCAGAGGTACCTCCCCCTAAGGACCTCTACCTATGGCCATTTTCACTTTTAATATTAAGAAAAGGTATAATTCGTAGATGGAAGTAAGTTTCCAGAACTTCAGACCGTGGATGGTGGGAAGTTAAACAGCAAAGTCATGCCTCCCACAGAATCAATGTGCTATTGACCTAGACCCAGAGCCCAACAAGCATAAGTGAGACAAATGTTTTCCCTACAAAGCATTTCTCGAGAAAACTATCTATTATTCAAGGCATTTTAATGAACTATTTTTTCCTTTTATATATATTATATTATATTTATATATATAATATTCAATATTATATTCTTTTACCTCATGTCGTAGCTTCTGAAATACTTTCTTTTTATTGTCAAGAACAACTAAAGCTTTTGGTCCTACAAAAAAGGTTCTTTTCAGTAACATTGTTGAATTCAAATAATTCTTTGTTTGTTATTTATCTACATATATTACGTTACTTCTAAAGACAAATAAGGCAGATACGGGAGGCGACCAAAGTGTAACAATTTTCACATCTGTCCCTGAATACTTTCAAGGACACTGTTAGAGAAAGTGGAGTGTGTCATTGATTAAAATATTTTTGTATGGAAAGCAAGAAACGCCAAGCTCATGACGGTGGGAATATATACTATATATTTTTTATCTATCTCTAGTCACTTTCAAACGAAGAAGGTTGTATCATTAGTAAACGTACAGCAATGTTTTCAATACGTATTTTCTATGCTACCCTGATACCACAACCCATTGTAGAAAATTTATTTGACTGACAAGTCATATTAATTAACGGGTTGTCTTTCTTCTCATTAACTAGAAATGTTAAATTTTCTATTTGATACAAAATCAAACAATTTATGACAAATGATAAAGGCACCATTTTCTTGAAATTAAATAAGAATTCTAGCAAGCTGAGCAGTGGTACTGACATTATAGACGATAGTGAATAAATAAATATATCCATATTTCGAACAAGCACAGGCATAATAAAAAACTAAAAGGTCACAAGGAAAACAGAACCTTTGATTTCTGATTATAACTATAATGGCTGACAGCAAAACCTGACATATACAAAGAATAAAATAAGCAGTATCAATGGTAAAAACAAAATCGACGAACAAGCTTCGAAACTAATTTTGTACAAACAGTTCTAACTTTAAGCACCGATACAGTAAAATAAGAATTTCACCTTTCGTTGCTCCATTGAAAATAAATGAAATATCTCCTCTGTGCCATTTCATGTCAGTAAATTCGATTAATGTGCTGTCCATCCTAAAATGAGGTTTTAAATAAAAAAAATTTAAAAAGCGACTTGGCCTAAATGTATTTAGCAGTGGCGGCCGTACGTTATTAAAACCTTCATTGATTACAAGTTTGATCAAGAGATCTAATAGGGACTAATTTATCAAAAGGTGATAAGGTTTCATGAATATGACAAATTACAAAAGAAAAAGTTGAAGTATACTGCCAGTCTTTTATTCATTGCAAAGCGAACGTTTAGATGTCTGAAGAACAAATTACTCAAGACAAGAAACAAAGCACAATTGTGACTATAGTTTTTTGTTTTTTGATGACAAATGTAGAAGAAATGGAGGGGGAACTCTTGTTTGAGTGATATTGATAAGGGATTAATTTACTGCCATTCAAGAAAGTACTATAAAATGACGAAGAAATAAATCATTGGAATACCTAATATTGCAACCTCGCTTCTTTATAACACAAGTGTCGGACGGTAGATATTTTGATAAAAACGGTACTAAAATGGAATGAATGTAAACAATGAATACACTTGTATGTGTCCCAATGCGCATTTCATACCCAATGATGTGTTACTTCAAGACGCTTCTAATCTGGGTTCTAAACCTTTGCTTGAATATAAAGTATCAGTCGAGTGGTATAACCAGAGAAAATGCGTAGGCCTGTGGGTAAAGATACCCCACCTCAAACAGTATTTGTCAACATTTTCATCCAATCATTTGATGGCGAGAATTTTCAGGCAAGCATCAGGCTAACCTCACCTCATTCTTCGAACTCATTGGTAGATTTTCTGCCCTGATTCCCTAACCCTCTTCTGGGATTTACAGTCCTCCCAAGTCCCAAATGATTTTTGAATACTTGCAATTTTTCCCATGCCAACAAGAACCTGGTGCTTTGAAACATTTCTGGTTAAACTACTGGGCCCAGACTGATTAGCATGAAGATAACCTTACAATATGTATACCATATGGTTAAAAAACGATGTAGGGTTTTTCAAAACAATCGCTAAGCTAAGAACGGTTTTAAAACCACTTAAAATTTAAAACCTTCTGAGACCACTTTAAAAAGGTTTTGCTGCAGCTTAAAGACAGCCTTTTTAAAACATTTAACAAAACCTACATGGACAATAAGTAAATAAGCTGAATAAAGATTCCTTAACCTGGACATACAAAAGAACAAACCAATTTGACATCAACAGCACATTTGATTGTATATTTTTTAATACTAAGGCACAAATTTATTGTTTAAAGTGGAGAAGGGGAGACATAACCCAGTCAGAACTATTTAAAAACACTTGAAACTAATTGCGTCCAACAGCTTTTATATTAATAGCCACAACGTTTGTTATCATGTCACTGAAGGCAACATGTCAATTGAAGCGTTTTCCAAACATTGCCATAATAATGTATCAAAACAATCAACAAGACACAGTGACATAAAAATGTTTGAAGATACAGTAAATTCAATTACATATGTACAAAAATTCAAGCACAATAGAAAAAAGAACATCCATCAATAAATTGTAAAGCATGGCTAAATTTTTGTGAAAGATATCATACAAAACTCACCCCAACTATGGAATTCCCATTTGACTTCAAGGATGAAATCATCTAACTAAAATTGCAATGAAATGACTAATGACAAAAATAAAAAACACAAAATGGTAAGCCACAAAAAATGATAAGAAAAATTTGCACACAGAAAAATTCAGGCAAATTGTAGCCAGGGGTTAGGGGGCTGTCAGATAGGAGTTTACCAACTTTTTCGAGAGCCTTCCCCCCAATCAAAATTGTTCTCAAGCATCCTGGATATGATATAATCATGATAACAATCACAAGCAGAATTTCAAATAATCAAGTAAGGAACTATAAAAATTAGCTTTTAGAAACTGATAAACAATTTCACATGCATGTTATTTGTACCTTTGTTAGAGTTTCAACAAGCTGTGGTCTTCTACTTTCTAATGTCTCCCTGTTCTGCACTTTCAGTCGCTTAAGCAACAGTTTTACTAAAAAGTAATAATGGATGAATGGGTTTCAGTTTCATATAAAAAATGAAAGGGATAAAACAGACTGGGAAAAATCTGATAGAGGGTATTGTCAAATGTGACAGGGCATAATTTTTTCAACATAAATATGCACAATTTATAGTTGATCTGTCACAGGAATGATGGTAGATAAAATGGGAACAAAATTGCCTTAATAAGTCTCTTTTTCTTTAATTTCCCTTTCACAACCCTGCGTTGCTTTCCAGCCTAACGATATTGAGTCTTAGCAGGTCAATGTCTTTCTAGAGAAAAAAGAGAATCATTTAATTCCCACTAAAACTTGGCAAAAAGCCAGTTGTTCCATTCAATTAGATTAATGTTATTTTAATTGGAAGGATAGAAAAAAATTTACATACTAAGCTGCCTGTCCCCATAGCTTACAGCTTCAGCAAGTGGAGTCCAGCCACTGGCATTTTTCATCATTATTGATGCCCCATGCATCAAAAGAATATTCACACAGTCTAAAGAAAATAATGGTGTTTTTAATTCTTAAAAATACTTATAGCAGAGAAGTATTAAATCTCAAAATACTTAGGTTAAACTAATATATAAAGCAGAACATTACATAGTTTGATTAGCAACAAGCAAAGAAAAACTCTAAACCATATTCCTAGATACCTTTTCTCCCAAGCATTGATGCAATGTGTAATGCTGTATTTCCTGAAAAAACCAAAAAACTTTCTTGTACTGACTGAGAAGAAATACAAAACTGTATAGAATCAAACACCTCTCACTGCATGGAGATAAAGGTAAAGGTGAGTTATATACAAAGCCAGTATAGAAATATGCCTGTGAAAGAGAACCTGCACAAAACAAACAATATGATGATGTGTGGTGGTGATTTTGCATTCAAGGCCTGCCCCCAAATAATGGGCAAAAATAGGATTAAAAAAACAATATCTATGGTGCCTAATAAAAAGCCCCATCTACTTGTTCAATTCTATTTTTCTTCAACCTGTATGCTTAAATGAATGTCTTATTCATTACTATCCAGAAATAATTGCATCCTAACATCTAGTAATAGGCAAGTTTTAATAAACGGGGAAGGGGTTAACTAGCAAAATACTGTGTATGTGGTAAATTGCATTTTTGAAATTCATCACAAGGACATCCAAATTTCAAATTTTCAGTTGAATGCTTTTGAAAAATTAATTTGGGTTGAAATACAGAGTTGGCAGTCATTTACTCCCAGAGCCCTTATCAAAAGGGGTCAAAAGGCATTGAGCCTCCAGATATTTTTATCAGTTCCCATGTCTCTAGCCAGATTCTTCTTTGTTTTCCCTGTTGATGCTTGATGGATTTCTATTAATCCTTTTGTTTACTTATCAGGCGAAATAGCAGTAATTATTTATAAACTCTCAAATCAGATAGGCAAGCTATATATGGTTGACTTATTATGTAGGCAGGAAGGTCTGTGGCAAATTAGAGCTTCCAAAAAAGCTTACATAATGGATCTTTCGCATCTAAATCTGCTAATAGTCACACGAGATATATTTTCAAAGCCATACATTTTCAAGGCAAGAATTTTTGTGAACATAACCAACAGTTTGCAACAGTGTTGACTGTAGCTTACCTCAGATTTATTAGGACTTTAAAAGATAAAAACCTAATTATTCAGATTTGATATACAATATGGGAATTATAGGTATAATATCAATTAAAAGCAAGGCTTGTGGCATGGACTGCTTTTAACAATTAAGCAGATGTTTCATTTGGTGATCAAGCACACCAAGAAAGCATGGCATATGTATGAACAATCATGAATACAGGTTATTTAGTCTATAGGCCTTTGAATGCAAATATATCATTTTTGTACATTAAAACTTCAGTGTATCAGGGGGTAGCTGGAGGGGGGCAGAGGGGAACTAGGACCCCAATATTCTAAAGGGTCCCCAAAAAACGTCTGCAAGTTGTACTGGGTTTGAAAATGTGCATATATTGCCTCTTAATCCTCTCTCCCATGACTATATTGGTTTTTACATGTTTGTGCATTACCACTTTACTTTTAATATATAGTCATTTCTATATGTTGTCAAAAAAATTGGCCCCCAATGGTAAAGTAATAACTACTCCCCATACCTTGTCCTATGGATTTTCATGAATGCAGATTCTAACGTCTATAGGCCTTTGACAGCAAACATATCCTATTGTTTTTGTTTGTTAAAACTTAAGCTTGTCCTATAGCTTTTTCACCATTTAAAAATTCAATGGGTCTTTGGTTTAACAAACGAGAACTTCACAACAACACACATCAATTTATTTATTCTATCAGCAAGAAAGACAATATTTCCACCAGGGGGAAGAGATTTACAAAATTTTTCACAGCTGTACCAATTTCTTAGCAACCAAATATGCCAACAGCAAAAATCTGCCAAAATATTCACAAACGAAATCACAATATCATTCATGCAGGGTAAATATTTACAAAACAAGTAACATCGTTATAAATTTTCAGAAGCTGGTCTGCTGTGCAAAAATTACACAATAGGTATCCTTGAAAATATCTAGCAGACTATAAAAGTGTATTTCTACAAGTTCTTGATACAAATTCAGGTAGAAATTTTACATTTTTCAAGGTTTAAACAAGTCGAGTTCATTGTAAAGACACCCTTAAAGTTATCTAATGTATTGAAAGTCTGTAAAATATCACAGAGCCGATCAATGGGCTTACATACATAAAATAGGTGGCATAACAAAGCAAAGAAAAAAATTTGAAAAATAATTCTACTGACAGTATAAGTTGAGAAAGTCATCAATCCAAGCTAGAAAGTTATTAAGTCTGGGTGATTCAATCAAATCGAAGTTAAAGGTCAGGACCTGGTAGCTAACATAAAAGGCGAGTCAAACCGAGAAGGCCCGTCAACGAAAATATGCCAATAGGCTTACACTGAATGCGTTATATTAAATATGAAAAGAAGATTATCAATTAAGGCTACTAGAACTCATTTTGAAACAACGATTCACGGTTCTCAACAGAAAAGAACTCATTGATCATGAAATGACAACACATCACTTAGACAAAACAATAACACAAAAAAGGCTAACTCAGAGTAGAGCCCAAACTCACCAAACTGGTCCTTCTCATCGGCATCATGACAGCTTAATAAAGATGACAGTCTCTTTAAATCATTTTCAAAAACAGCTTTTAATAAAGGGAATACTTCCTTTTCCTCGCTTGGCCCCATTGTTAACTATCGCCGGAAAAAAATTTTCCCTCCGTTCTTCGAAATTGTTTAACAAAAACTTAGGCCCCAAATTATTGAATTGAATTGTTGAATTGAATTGGACCCACCTTGTTCAATTTATGCAAATATTTCCGGTTTGTTTTAGCAGAGTGGCAAAACACTGGCGTCACAAAAACCCATTTCCTGAAGCTTGGGATCTTGGAGGAAATGTGTAAAGGAAGCTTGGGGTGCGGGAGTGTAAAGGGGACGAGAGCTTTCCTAGCTTCTGTTAAATTGTCGGTAAAAAAAGATTCAGTGTCTTTGTCGGTAAACTTTGTATCTTGTCGGCAAATTTGATTGTTTTTAGAGCTTTAGACAACCATCCCTCCCCCACCTGAAAACAGAATTTCCGCCTCTCCAGTATTTAAGTATTTTGTAACAACACAATTAATCTTTTTGTGAAGCACCCCCCATTTTTTGTGAAGCAGGTAATTTCAAAGCTACAAATTTCGAAGATGAAGGTAGGCTTGCTCCCCCCCCCTCCCACTTTCAAATTCGGGGCGTGGGCCCTGTACTATAGAATATTGTCCACCAAATTTATTGTTCACACAACTTGTGATTTTGAAATGCCCCGACCACTGTGAAGTTTTTGCCTGGCAGCGAAAGTCTTATGTTCTACAAAGTCTTATAAATAATCTTACGTCCTACAAATTTGTTTGACTTCAACTTGACATTGAACTCATTCAATGAGCTTAACTGTTTACAGATCTCGACAGAGTTAGTCATTCTAGGAAAACAAAATTTCTTGATCGCTTTGTTAGTGTATCTCTGAATGTGAGTGAATTATTTACTTTACCTTGGAAGCACGTTTGAAAAATTCATTACCTAAGAAATTTAAGAAAATGGCCAGAAGATTTTAAAAACTGCCTACCAGCACCAGACCTTAGTTTCTTATAAAAATTACGTGTATTAGCTTGAATCATGGCAATCCAATGACAAGGAAGAAAAACTCCATTAAAAATGTAGATTCACAATATTCGGGAATGGCTATTGGCTGGTATTGTCTTGCTCCAAAGGCCCCATGCCACCCCTTTGGCTAAGGGCCTAGGTCTGAAACCACCAAAGGGGCTGAATAAAAGTTTTCTACATCTTTTTCAACGGAAAGCGAAAAATATTATGGGATGTATTATAAAAACAATACACCTTTTTGTAGGGCAAAAAAAGATGCACTAATCTCGAGTCTTGTTTGTTTACTTTCCCACAAATTACATTCCTCGCTTTTCTGACAACCCTCTCTGAGATTTTGATAACATCTCAAAGATGATATTAAAAGTGGACACTTTGTACCTGCACTAACCAAATGCCAGTCGTAGCTTTTGACGGGCAAAAATATGTTACACCTCACCATAAACCCCCAAGTTCTTTCCAACCAGTTTTGACTCTTATTCTCCGATGTCAATGAAAGATGAAGAGAAAGAAAAAGCTGTTTTCCAGACAATTATCATCTATCCGCTTACGAGAGACAAATGTACACCACAACATTACAAAAGATACAAATTATTAAACGCTGTGAGGAGGCCATATTACTGCACAAATAGCTTTTCTAGGACGTGGGTTTTTATAGACTATTACAAAAAGAAATATCAAAGGGTGTTTGCTCATTATCATTACACAAAGCTGCATTTTTACAGGTACTTTAAACATATATTTGACAAGGCTGTTAGTGACAAGGGTGAGAAGAGAGTAGACTATAAAGGACCTCGAAATAAAAACTGACTTCTAAGCATGCAATATAGAAGAGCACATCAATCATACCATTCTGGTTGGCCTTATCAATACTAATCTCTCTAGTTCTGGAAATGAAGACATCAAACGATCTTCATACATAGCGAGGGGCAAGTGTTTAATTTACTGTCAACTTTGTCAATGGAGGGGAAACGGTCCTTTAGTAAGTTAAAAACATCCCAGGGTCAGCTTGTTTGAGGAAGACTCTTTCGCTAGTTACAGCAAATTGAACTCTACACAGCGATTTCTGCACGAATTCACTTGAAATTAACACTTACAAAAAGATTACAAAACATTGCGACAAATATTGAACTTGATGTGCATGGAAATCTCAACAAGAATTGCAGGCAGCAGAGACGGAGCTGCTCTGCAATTCCAGCGTTCAGTTTTGGCAAGGCCCAACCAGGCATGCTCTAGGCATTTATGACTGGCAGGGAGTAGGTTTTATTGAATTATTACAACTCAGAGCAAAATATCTAGCAATTGTACTTTGACAATGACCAGTGAAAGTTTTGAAAACAATGTCTGATGATAAAGTGGCAAGACAATTAGTTCATTCACTGAGAGAGTTTTGAGTAAAAAACCCATCATGCACTTGAATATATAAGCCATCAACATAAATGGCACAAAATGAATTTATCAATTTGGTAAACAAGCTCAGCAACGTTGACACAGAACTTCCATGCCAGTTGATACGTTTAACGACACGTTACATGCATCGACGAGGGAACGGAGATCACAGTACACATTGGCTACCAACTGAATAATTTGACAGTCTACGGTTAGCACGGGACAGTCACAAACACAGTAATTCCCGTATGCGTTTACAGTTTTTGGGTATCAATACAAATCAAAACTAATGCGAAACCTAAATTTATCTCAAACGTACTTTTGAGTTTTCAACGAGATTAACAGGGGTGTGGCAGTGCTTGTTTTCAGTCTCAAATTATCAAGAGGGGGGGGGGGAGGGAAAAATTGTCTGAGTGAATGGCAGCTCAAAACGCGGCCTGAGCAAAGGAACAATTCATTCCCAAACAGACGTTTAGTTATACTTTCACTTCATCATATATGAATGAAGAACATTCACATATCACCTATGTTATAAAGCAGCACAGAACTTGCCAATAAGGGTGAGTACTTGTAGGGGTGTGTCCTTTTAAATGGCTATTCAGCCAACGTTAAACAAACAAGCCAGGCCCCTCTCGAGAAAAGTCTCAGTACATTACAATTAAGAGAAATTCTCTCTCCCAATTAAGCCTAAAGAAGCTATGCTTAGTTACTATACCCAAGTTTAATTACGCAGTTTGTTTACGAAATGTTTAGTGATACCGACTGCCCCTCCCACCTCCCAGCAGAATCCCTTCCCCCCTCCCTTCCCTTGGAGTGAAGCTACAAGATACACGATGCTTTACAAAGCATTTATCTTTACGTCAGTGGTGCTGAAAGAGAAGAAAAGACATCATCTCAGACAATAATAGTCTTTGTTGGAAATTAATCCTAAGAAAGGATCTCAAGATCAAATGCAACCCTTGTCAAAAACCTCCCTAGTAAATAGCAAAATAGTAAATAAGTAAAGAGTAATAAAGGGACTACGTAATCACATACTGTAGTGATATATGCTTACTACAGTGATAAATGAGGACGTTCTAAAAAATTGTTTTGAACATCCTAGAATTCTGACCACATCAAAGGTAGCATTGAAAACCTGTCTAACAGATAAAAAACAATTGAATCTACCCAAAAACAGCCTTGTGGCCAAAGAGTTCCTTACCCATGAACGTCTATAATCTGGTTTTGGTTCTAATCTCAAGAGCCAGCGCGAATAAACTTTGAATTCGCAATTGTTGGCATCATTTGTGTAACGCCTTCGTTCGAAATTGACCTTCTCCATGGTGTAGCATTACTGGACTGTTGCCACCAAAGGGTAGCTCAGCCTTAAGGGATTTGTTTCTAGTGGCTTAAAAGTTTAAGATATATCGGCAACCCCCTTAGCTTGGTTTTGCCTTTGTACAGATTTTGCAAACTTCACTAGCTATAATGTTGCACGACCCTATGGCTTTCTAAATGCTTAATTTTTCACTGGGTTTTGATGATGGCCAAAGATTCGTTCCAGCGTTTCGCTTAAGTAGCAAACCTAAGAACAGGGGATCGGCCATATTTCTGAAATGCTTACGTTATTTTCCTAACAGACACTTATTTTACCCGAATTCTATACAAGTCCTAACTTCCCCACTGCACAAAAAGCCTCGTTTTTATCGCCATCCTTCTTCCTTCTGTTATAATCATACGTACAGGTAAATTACCAACCATAACCCATTAAGAATAAAAAATCATACAAACCTGGCCCATAGACTAGGGCCACGCTCCAGAAGACTTTAGTTAATTGCTAACGTACGTTGAGATTTCTGCTAATTTTCTTCAACACTAAAGTTTTTTTTCAATGTTAACTTTTTTTAAATCTTGTTTCTTTTAATCTCATTGTATTATACTGTATTTATGATAATTATTTTAGCTTGAATGGTATTTAAATGCATGGCCCCCGCAAATCAGTTTTTCTCTAACTATTTTGCCTAAAAAATTGAAAAATGAAAAAAATGAAAAAATGATGACGGCCAAAAGAATATGCTTACCTAAGGGTTAGACACCATACTGCTGCGATAACCTCTCGCGCAGCGGCAAAGGAAACTCGTCTGAAAACCGTTTCCAGTTTTCATCACCAACTTGGTTTTTGAAGCCATGAAGAATCTAGACAAAGGAATAAGGAAATATGATCATCTCAAAAAGCAAGACAAGGCTACTTACTACCTAGCGAAGAAATAAATATGTACCTGTGAAAAATAATGTATCATTGAACTTTGCATATGACAAGCAAACATTAATTCATATTACTGATGTACAATGAGTGTATCATCATCGTAACCCAGTTGCAGTAGATTTTTTAAAACGCTGAAGAAAAAGCAAATGATGGGTAAGATATTAATCAATTGATCACACAACGGCTGGAAAAGGGAGAGGTTCTAACTGCAAAATACCTTCATGAACATTTCTTTAAGGTCTGGTGCTGGATTCACCCAGGATGCAACAGCGTCACAGAAAAAAATAAAGTCCTAAAGAAAAACAGCAGTTAAATTAGACAAAAAACTTTAATGAAATACACGGACAAATATTTCACATGAATCTAAATGTTATTTAATCAAACAAATTGACATTATTTAATTACACAACAAAAATTGGGAATAAATCAGATTTCACAACAATCAGAATCATGCCAGTTACTTAAAGGGCCTCTCCAGCCAAATTTTGCACTTGCATTTTATTGGCTAATCTAAAGGAGTTGAACCTGCTGATCACGAATTCGTTATTTGTTTTTCGATATTTTTTACATTTTATGAGATATAAGCTCTTGCATTTCGATAATTGAATTGAATTTACCGACAAAAATTTTTCGGTTTGGTGACACTGTGACGCAATTTTGACGTCACAGTGTATTTCGTTAGTCTCGCCTCAAACCGAATCGAACGTCGGCGATTCGCAAATTGAACACTGCAAGTGATAGTACTCTCAGTTCTGTTCCACCGGCTTTTAGTTTGAGCATTTCAGATATCAATTCTGAAGCCTTTAGTTGTTCATCGTTTCTGGAGAACAACTGAAGTGTCAATTTCGATTAGTAATACGCGAGGAAAGAGCTGGAACAGGAAGCCGTAGCTTTGTGGGCCTACACAGGTGATCAAAACAAAGTCGTGACACAGCACGGACACATTCCGACCCGCAAACTTAGAATGATTGTAAACATTTTATATTTTCGATCCTAAAAAGCTCCTGCTCTAGATTTAGATGCCGTTATCAACGCGTGACCATGACTCCTTCACGATTCGGTGGAAGATATACGAAATTCATGGCGAATGAGAGCCGCACATTGTGACGTCAGAATGTCACAAAACTGATCCGGCTTTTGTCGTTTTTTTACTCGGAAAGGTGCGACTTTAAAGCCTTATAACTTCTAAACTAATTGGAATTTTGCAAAAAACAACGACTTTGCCATAATACACGCACCAGATGCTAACTTTTTAGTCAATAAAAAAAATTTTTTTTTTGGCTGGAGAGGCCCTTTAACTAAGGGCCTGCTTACATGGGAAGGGCTGGCCCTGCAAGAGTGCTGGCCTTTGCTTCTAATTGCCAATAGATTACCTAAGCTAATAACAGCATCCCATCCTTGTTATGAGGGCTAGCCCGTTTGCTAGAAAGTGGGATCTCAGCTTCTCTAATGCAAGTCATCACCATCCCAAACAATCTTACTTTTTCATCAGTAGAGGAAAATGATATGGGCCAAAATTAAGGGGCAATCAAGAATCAAATTTACAATCAAGTAAGCACGATTTCTGATATATTTTAGAGGCCTCAAGCAGAAATTATAATATCATCTTCAGATTTAAACTTACAACTCAAATGTAAAAAAATTCTGCTTTCAATTTGTTAATAAAACAAACTTCTTGCAAAGATGAGCATCCCTTAGACGACAAAAACATCACTTAAACCATTCATGTTACCTGAATAACACCTCCTGGGTTCGCACCAATCATACTGCATACACCGCGAAAAGCAGAATCTTTCTCCTCATTGTCCCGTATGTTTCTCAACGATGTGCACCTGTTAAATAATAGAAAAATACAGCACATAAAATAACAAGATACTGCTTATCAAGATACAAGCCTTCCTGTCATGATCATAGATAAAAAACATCTAATAAATTTATGTGTGATGAATGTTTTTTTATCGATTACTAAAATAATATAATCCTTTTTTTAAACATATTTTAAGAGCGTTGACAAAATTAAAATCGAGTTATATGACCTGCTAAACACCATCATATTGAAGGAATATATTCTTATCAAAAATATACTAATAAACGCCCCTTTAATATTAGGCGTTAAATAAGTGGCGTTTATTTCCCTCAGCTGAAGACATGGACAGGGGCACATAAAAGAAGATTTTCCATATGGCATGAATGAGATACAGAGCTACGCATGGAATTAAACTTGGGTCGATAAACAACAATACTTAAAAAGTAAAAGAAACAGCTGCTGAATCTGCAAATGTTTAAGGAATCATAATTCAACTGTTTAAGGCAATCGAGAGATACTTTAGTGGCTCAAGGGAATTGTCAATCAACAAATGGCCAATCAGTGATCGTGATACTACCCACGCGCTTACTGATCGAACGTGATACTGATTGGCTAATAATACCTGACAGGTGGCTTAGGCAATTTCAGTATCTGTCGATTGCATTTCAAAGGAATGGCTGGTCATGTTGGTTAGCCATGCTGGTCATGTTAGTAGATTGTTATCACTCAAGCTTGCGATTTCTGGGAACCATCCTAGCTTTTAAGCTGTTTAGCGTTTTGGTCTTACGGGTTAGATTAATAACGTTTGGTGAAATAAAAGGCAAAATCACACAACAGAGATGCTTATATCCCTTTTAAGTGCATAAAACTAAAACGCTACTTTCTAATTTCTTTCAAACATTGGATAAATGAAGAAAAATTAAGTTTCTAAAATAAATAAGCTCTGTTTCTTCAATTCAATAGCGCGAAGATAATCAGCCAAAATGGATTACTTCTAAAGAAACTTTATGATTGAACAAATTTCTGGCTTGCAATATTTCTTCAAAATTTACTCGGCCTTGATTATGAGCCAATTGGGAAACCGGCTGTAGAACAGACAGGATCACGAGGTTGGGAATGACAATGGCACTTTTTGTTATTTTCTTTTTCTCTCATTGTATATAGCTTATAGGTTATATCTGATGTCATAGATGATTCTGATTTTCAGGCCCTGGTTACATGCCCTGGTTTCAGGCCCTAGTTAGGGTGACAAAAAACAATTAAAAGATTGGTTGAAAGACATTGAACTATAAGAAAGTATTCTACTGAGAGGACAAAAATCGACTTAACAAAAGTATACCAGTGACAAGAAGCGAGTGGCAAATCACTCACTAAACACAACACAGTATTCCAGAACAATAAAAAATCAGCTTGAAGGTAAGCAAAAAATGATACATAAGCAATATTTGTAATGGTATAAAAAACGCTTTAAAACATCAAGTGAATTACTAAGGCAATATAAAACAGTTATAAGATAACAAGTGTAAAAACGATGAGCGGTTATGGACATCCTATTTCAAATGATTTGCCTCTCGAAAAATAGCTCAATGAAAAAAACGAGTACATAAAACAGCACCCCGTTTTTAAAGTAAGGCCCATATCAGCGCCTCTAACGAACTAAAAAATCCTATGCTAAAATCAAAATATATACGTAAGATACAAACCAAGGTCGAATGAACTGTTGTAAACGGGGTGCGACGTCACTAGGGCATACTAGACCCAGTCTCCCAATCGTGATTGCTAGCAGAGACAAACACAACAAAAGTCAACAAACAACACTTGACATTTGGCGATAAACAAAGAAGACGCAAAACTCAACCAAGGTCACCTAGATAGGATCATAAACATCAACTGATTTTCAAGATACGATTTTTATTGAGTTGTGCAGTCATCTTGTGCTGCGTCTCCTAGTTTTGCAATTCTTTAAAACATGGCAATTCTATCAAAATGGGACATGATAAAACTGTTTATGATCAAACTGGGTGACCAATTGGTTCTTAAGTTTAGATGATAACACAAATTAAACACGTAGGCCAAGCTCATGCTGTATCGGGTTAATTACGTATTGAATCACTTTTCATGCCAGATAAATCCGATAAACGCATTGCCGCTTTTGTTGAGTGAAATCATTCCGCTTTGGATACGGTATAGAACCATATTGCAACACGTCTGGGCTCGTGGAAACGCATAAATTCAATAGGTATTCGCGACGGCGAAGCATGGCAATGCCGAAAGAACAGAAATGAAAACTGAATCAACTATTGTGTAAGAAGCAATAATATTTCTATCTGATTTGGTCAGTGAATCCGGTAAGCAATGAATTCGGTAAAGTGTGAGCCGGGCCTTGAATACAATCTGGTGTTGATCATATATTTCTAGAACCAGTTGACAAGGTACACTAAACTGTAAAAGGCACTTTCGTAATATAATATTTAAGGAAACCCCATTAAAGCCAATGTCAAACAATTTGATCCAATAAGTTAGGTAAATAAAGAAAGACGCTAAATAACATTATAATACCCTATTAACCATTTATATTAATGACAATGTTTCATGGTATGACAATGAATCGTGCACTTACGGCTCAAGACCCGTGAAAGGCCAAGAGGAATACAACCTTCCAAGAGAATACAGGTAAACTATACATTTTTTGCTTCTTCGACATTATGAACTATCGGTGTCATTAATCTGAACTATCGGTCTCATTGCCCTTCGACTTACGATAGTGTACGAAACAGTGGTGTAGGATTTGTCTTAACTGGCATCTTCAGTCGAAATGTACAGATAAATAAGTGAAATCGTAAAGACAACTGAAACACAAAGTGCTTTCTTCATGCAGGCCCAAAAAGGGGGAGAAGGCAGATCGGCAAAAGGGGCAATTACACCAAGCCCCGGCACTTTCATGGGGTTAAAAAATGTAAAAAAATGCCTTCGTCAGTTGTAACTATAATCGAATTAAAACAAAAACCATAATTTGTGTTTAGCAAAAAAATCAATCCTACAAATCGTATTCTAGCCTCGTTTTCCAATCGAATAAGAGAGATCCTCAGTAATATTCTGACAATGTCTAATAAAAAAGGTTTTTAGTACTTTAGCTGCCCATTGTGGCCCTCGGAAGGCCTCTCTTCATGACAAGCATTACTCATGGAGCCTTGCTGCTAAATCTAGAATGAATCCAGGTTGGCTTGCTAATGAGAAAAAACCACGCCTGACGACTGGACCAGGGAACATGCTTGTTGCAAAGCAAGTTAGAAATGTCTGTTGCATACTATTTTGCAGGAAATAATTCAGTTGTACCTTCAGAGCCGGAAGCTCAGACAGGTTTACTGCGATTAAATCAGCCTGGCTAAATCTCAAACCAATATGCAACAAAGACAGTCATTAGCACCCATTAAGCTTCTGCCCCTTTGCCAGAGACAAAAAGAGCTGACAGGGTACATGAAAACTCCAGATACCAGCCGGTCTGTGTAAGAGATGCAACATCTGCGAGAGTAAACGATAGCTAGTTGTTTCAAAGTTTGTGACCTAAAGGCGAAAATGTTGACCTAAAGGCGAAACTGGTGACCTATAGGGGAAAGTTGTAGACTAGACTATTCAGTTACGCATAGACAATGAAGGAATTTGTCAGATAGAACAGCTTGGAGAAAGCAAAAAACTGAGAGTAACAAACTGGTGAATGTGTAAATAAAAGTGAGGGCTAGATGGTGTGGAGACCCTGTTTACACAGAACTACGTTCGGTTCTTCTTTGGGGAGTGGGGGGGGGAGTGGGGGGGGGAGTGGGGGGGGAGTGGGGGGAGGGGGGGGGGGGGGGGGGGGGGGGGGGGGGGGGTCTTCATGGACCTCTGACATAATTACTCATGGTGGTCATGAAATGGTGCAACAAATGCTTATGATTCACATGTTGCAAATCGCAAGGTGTGAAAATTTGTCTCTCTCTTTTAAAAAGAAAATGCTCCGTTCTAAGCGGTAATATCCCTTTTAAATGGATGTTATCGACATAAAGTATTCAAGCATATTGTAACAGTACTATGCTAGGTTTTACGCAATATCTCAACGACATGTAAAAACTAGCAAGGATCATTGTAACAGTGCACAATCATTTTTGACGTAGAGAATTACATAAAAACGTCACAAAATTCGACACGTATCCGGTTTACTCTGTTACGGTGGATCGATTCTTTAAAACGAAACTAATTGAAACCAAGACAGGGTTTACACAGAGGCATCCAATACACTGGTAAAGTGGAGATAGCAAAGGAATCAAGCCAGGATTAGCCTGTTCAATGAAACTCCCAAAACTTTAAAGACAAATTTCGACTGCCTATTAGCGTCATTGGCTCTTGTGTGATTCCTCCAGTCAAGTCAGCTAGATAGCCGAAATCGAGCAACTAATTGGCACTTTTACCGTCATTTTTAATCTTAGGGAATAAATATTTCTCTTAAATGAAACCGTTATTCTGTTCTCTGATCTTAAAAACTATGGCGGACACCCAAGTTACAGGCCAGGGACTACAAAAAGAATAATGTTTTCATGAATTTAAGTTGTGCAGGACAGTTCATAAACTTCTATCCAACAAAAGCCTTGTTTTGATATTTCTTAAATAAAACAACACGTAACTTATTGACTGAATAAGAAAGGGATTGACTAAACACCCAGTCAGAATTGATCCGTAATGCTATGAAAAACACGAAAAACACCCAGTCAGCATCTTACTTCAAACCAGTATAATACATATACGATCTTTGGAGTTGGGAAAATCCTAGAAGAATTTGAAGACTTGCTTGAGCAGAATCGTAGGTTTGTATATCTAAAGTCTGAATGACCTTGTGCTCGGTAACGTCATCAACACAAATGCTTTAACAAGAGAACAGTTACCTGTATTTTCTAATAGAGTCTTCGGGGTCTTTGGTCGGTTGATTATTTCGATAAGACGAGGGAGAACAATCTCAACGTACTCTTTCATTTCTGACCCTGCAACAGCAAGTTAAGGTATTTAGATTGCATTTCTCTTGTAATTCGCTGAACAGTTAA